GCTGAGTCGGAAGAATCCCTGCCCCCAATGTATGTCCCTGCAAGTCCTACTGATGAACCAGCCTGGATGGTCCATCCAGACATTGGGGAATACTGCGAACCAGCCTGGCTCAGGAACTGGACTACCAAGACTACCACAGAAGGTTTGCTCGATTCTGACATTACATTGTCAAGCTTGTCACCTTGGAGCCAGTTCAACTGTACAGGATGCATTTACACTGTCGGGCTAGTTCTATTCCACCATCATCTATCTAGGATGACAGGCTGCTCTCTTTATTGGACGATGAATCATTCTGCTGACTCCACACCCCCATCCCAATGGGTGGGACAAAGACATGTATACATTGTTACATGGACACATATACATTGGTGCACATGTTTCTGGAGTGTTTTGGTTTACAGAGCTAGCTCCCTTGTGTAAACTGCATCATATATATATGCAGACAGTGTCTGGGGACTCTCTCAGTTACAGGAATTGTGACCACAGTTTGCACACTAACAAACAATCCCTCCACGGGGTATTTTACATTACACCCATTTGGCCAAACCAGTTTATACTTAACACTTGCCTTCACCACACCTATTCTTCTCTCCTATAACTCTCTATTCCCTTGTCCCTCATGTGCATCACATTTCCTCTTAACTAATAGATTTATGTTGCAAAAACAGTGAGGCATTTTCACCACCCTCTGTATAAAATGATTCCTCCTAAATTCACTTTTAGATCTACCACTGGATATCTTAGGTATACGCCACATAATTTTAAACTCATAAAGTGGAAACATCCTATCAATGTCCACCTTATAGTCACAATATAGTTTCTAATTACTAATAGGATCGGGGGATCTGTCAGCTATGTGCAGCTCAGAGCTGTCTGCTGAAGGATAACAAGCACACACAATATAGATTATTTTCCATCATCATTCTGTCAGACAAGGATTGGGACAAACAGGAGATGAGGACACAGGTGCAGGACTCTCAAGGGAATATATCCCAGAGACCCAAATGTAATACCCAGGATTCATAGAAGAGCAATGTCAGAGGAGCAGGAAGCTCTCCAAGGGATAAATGCTGAACGCTGTTGAATGTTAGCAGAGGTTTCCTCGGTGATTAGAGTCGCTCTCCTTGTGATATGAAAATCCCAATTGCCATAACTTGTTTGTCACTGGGCCATTCCACTTAGGTAGATATTGTAGATATTGTCCAGAGAACCATGTTCAAGATGGGACTGATGCTCTATCGCACAGAGGTAGCCAGACCAGAGTTATAGAGAAACAAATGGAGAGCATCAATAATTCTACCTTTCCCATGAGGAAGTCCACAGTTAATTCCATGGCCTATATGAACTGTGAAGGCTTAACTATTAATATCCAAGTGCTCTGTGATGCACAATAATGTAGCCTAAGAATTAGTGCATAAATTACCAGAATCAATACATTACTCCTTCATTCTTAATCAGTTATGTGTGCCCGTGCCATTTGTATATGCTGATGGACTAAAACAATAGTTAGTATGGATAAGGTACTGAATCCATTTCTCATGATCCTCATTTCTCAGTCAAAAGCTGCAAGCAGAATTGATCAGGCACAAAAGCCTGCCACATACCTTCACCAAGCAAAGCATTAAGATCTTGAAACAACTCTTCTGGTGCCTTGACTGTTCAGAAATAAATGTGTCCAGAATAATTGTTCTACTCATTCGTATCCAAAATCTCAACATCAAGCTAGGGCTCAAAAAATTTAACGAAGATTGTAGCTGTGCTGAGGCCATGGATGATGAGGCTTCCAACCCCTGGTAGCAGCAGAACATGAAGTGCTGCAGATAAGCAGTTCATAACAGAAGAGAATTTTAGCTGGAAAGCAAACAGCTTCCTTTTGGTGGTGAAGCAAATCTTGAGGAGAAAGTGGATGCGGCAAGTGTGTGTCTACCCAGATAAATACTTTGAAAGTACTTTAATTTGATCTCTGCTTGCAAATATCGAGAGCTGGCTTTAGCTCAGTGCTAACAATTGTTAAGGGGATGTTTATTCTAATAATATTTTTCCTTTTCCTCTGTATGGATGAGGCTTGTCTGGGTATGTGTCACCAGAAACAGCAGCTCCAGGAATAGCATGAACCAATACAGTTACTGGCTCCAGTGGGAATGTGTAGCATAGGTAGGATGCAGCACAAAGGAACAATATAAGATAAATAGCATTCAAGAGACCTGGCTAAGTGAAGCATACAAGTGACATATTAATATTGATCTGGATAAATGTTCTGCAGATAAATGTGATTGAGCTCATTTTCAGATCATGAAACCTATGTACACAAAGGTGACATGTCAATAAGCCTAAGTTGTGAATGAAAAGGATTTGGGTGAATGTTTTCCAATAATGTGAAGCTCTCACCAAATAAACTTTTCACACATTGTTTTGCATCTCAGGCATTTTTGACTGGAAATTTGCTTGTCAGTAGATTTCCCAATGATGGCAGGTCAAATTTCATTCCCCTCCACAGATAGACAAATCTACTGATAATAATAATAATAATAATCCTTACATTTGATATAGCGCTTTTCACGTCACTAAAATGTCCCAAATGCTTCACACAACACACTGTAAAGTGAATTGACTGTATATTTGTGGGCGAACGAGGCAGCCAATTGCGCATAGCAATGTCCCACAAACGGTCGTAGATTGAAAATGCCCAATTTATTATTGTTTTGGGTTTTGGAGGGATTATTGTTAGGCGTGTGGAGTAAGGAAACTTGCCCCAGGTTTCGCCCTGCCTGGAATTGAACTCAGGTCTCTCGCTTGCAAAGCGAGTGCTCTAACCACTGAGCTACAGGACTCCACGAATGCCGGTAATCACTAAGGTTACTAAATGTGATAACCACCTAAGAATAATTCACATTTGCCTGACTGCCTGACAAAGTGGGTGAATTTGTTGAGAAGCAGCAGACTTCTCTTCTGGTAACCAATTCCAGCTTATCAAAACCATCACATTACACCCATTTCAGAAACTGTTTGATGATGTAATGGAAATGGGTTTTCAGACAAAATTATAGACCAAAGGGCTTTCTTCATCCATACCTCTCTTGTGCTCTTGTGAATTTGCATTATTTTATCTTATAAGGTCGGACCTCATTATGTTACAATTCAGCATTATGACATAGGTCTGTTTATAGACCTGTTGTACAATAGTATACTTCTGACTTCTGCTGCAGATTGTCTGGCTTCCTGTGCAATGTGCACAGACCCAGAAGGTCTCCAAGCATAGATATTCACCTGGACAGAGAGACCTTGTTTAATATCTCATCTGAAGGATGTAATAGTGAGGCTTGTTCATTTTAGATTTTAAATGGGAAAATTTGCTATCCGTCCAATTTTCCAATATTTTCTTAATCAAGGAAAATGACTTCCTGTCATTAAACATCTTTGTATTCCTGTTTTTAATTTGACCAACAAAAATCTCAGGATGGTTAGATCACCATGGCATCATTTCCGCATGCTGCACCTGTGCAACACCTCCACCATCATTTCCTGCACATTGTGCAATTTCCCACTGCTTGAGGATACACCATAGGTTGGTGAGAAAATTATGGTTTTCTTTATACAGATTCCTTGAACTTATGCCAAGGCAGCAAGACATTTTTTAGGACAGACACCAGAGCAGTATTTCTTCACATAGAGGGTCACCCACAGCTAGAATGGATCACCAGGAAGAGCAGTTAAGGCCAGAGGTCGAATTCATTTAAGATATAGCTGTGATTATGCAAAAAAAATATTGTATATTCTGATAGGATGAAATCAAATGAACCCAATGGCTTTTTTCTTCTAATTCTCTTGTGCTCTTGTGAATGGAAAAACATTCACATGGTTTTGCAAATACATTGAGCAGCCAACTCACACATAATGCGTTTAGTATAATATTAACCAGGTTTGTGCTACCAACTGTGGCAGTTTGGCACAGAGCACCCTCACCTCTGAGTCAAAAGCTTTTGGGTCCAAGCCCAACGTTGGAACTTGGAATTGATATAGTCTGAGCCGATACTCCACTACAGTGCTGGGGATGTGGTACATTATAAGGGGTGTTGTTCTTTGGTTGAGTGTGCTGACAGGAGCTGAGAGTGAGAGTGCCAGGCAGTGCCAAGCCAGGCTGCTCATGTCAGCATGTGCTCACTAGGAATAACCAGAGAGAGAGGCACAAATTCCTGACAACCTCCAGAGCCCAATTCCCAGCTTTATCTATCTGTGAACACCGAATAATAACTAGCAGGATTTTTTTGATTAAAGTGCAAAGTGAAGAGCCACATTATGTTTACTCATATATTATCTGTTGTAACTCTCATGTGGTGTGCGTGCGTGTTTTGCATTTGTGTATGATGTGTGTTGTGTTTTGCATGTGTGTATCTATGATGTGTGTGTTTGTGTATGGTGTGTGTTACGTGTGTTTTGCACGTGTGTCTGTGTATGGTGTGTGTGCGTTTGTGTATGATGTGTGTGCGTTTGCGTATTGTGTGTGTGTCGCACGTGTGTGTGTTTTGCACGTGTGTTTGCGTATGATGTGTATGGTGTGTGTATGATGTGTGCGTGTTTGCGTATTGCGTGTGCGTTGCGTGTGTGTGTGTTTTGCACGTGCGTTTGTGTATGGCGTGTGTATGACGTGTGCATGTTTGCGTATTGTGCGTGTGTGTTTTGCACGCGTGTTTGTGTACGGCGTGTGCCTGCGTGGCGTGTTGCAGCTGCTTGTGTCTGTGCGTTTGGTGGCCCATTTCCATTCAGTGCTGTGTGTGGTGTGTGTGTGTGTGTGTAGTGTGTAGTGTGTGGAGGAGATTACTGACTGCCACACCCCCCCACCCCCCTCCCCCCCCCCCACCACCCCCCACGGTGACAACGCGTCATTGGCCATACATGGCTGTGGAGCAGATTCATTCATAAGATGAGTGAATAAAAAGAGGCGGATCAGAGAGAGAGAGAGAGTGAGTGTGTGTGTGTGTGGACAGCCCAGTGCTGGGAGCAGAGGGTTGGGGGGAGGATGGAGGTGTCTGATGCTGAGTGTAAGCTGGTGAAGCGGCTGCTGCGGGAGGATGGCCACAAGTGTCTGCTGCTGGACTGCCGGTCCTTCCTGGCTTATAGCGCCCGGCACATCGCCGGGGCCATCAACGTCCGCTGCAACACCATCGTCAGGCGCAGAGCCAAAGGCGCAGTGAGTCTGCAGCACATCCTCCCGGCCGAGGAGCCGCGGAGTCGGCTGCTGGCGGGTCTGTACTCCGCTCTCGTCCTGTACGACGAGAGGAGTCAGCGGCTCGAGCTCGTCCACCCCGACAGCACAGTGAGGACCGCACTGGGCGCCCTGTGGGGAGGCGCGCACCCCCCGCCCACCCGCCTCCACTTCCTCAAGGGTAAGGGCAGCGGCGGGGCAGCAGTCATTGATCAGCAGCGGGGTATCAGTCATTGATCAGCAGCGGGTTAGCAGTCATTGATCAGCAGCGGGTTAGCAGTCATTGATCAGCAGGTCATCAGTCATTGATCAGCAGCGGGGTATCAGTCATTGATCAGCAGCGGGTTATCAGTCATTGATCAGCAGTGGGTTATCAGTCATTGATCAGCAGCGGGTTATCAGTCATTGATCAGCAGGTCATCAGTGTGATTGATCAGCAGCAGGTCATCAGTCATTGATCAGCAGCAGGTCATCGGTCATTGATCAGTAGCAGGTCATCGGTCATTGATCAGCAGCAGGTCATCGGTCATTGATCAGCAGCAGGTCATCAGTGTGATTGATCAGCAGCAGGTTATCGGTCATTGATCAGCAGCAGGTCATCGGTCATTGATCAGCAGCAGGTCATCGGTCATTGATCAGCAGCAGGTCATCGGTCATTGATCAGCAGCAGGTTATCAGTCATTGATCAGCGGGTTATCAGTGTGATTGATCGGCAGCAGTCGGCTACCGTTGCGGGCACAAGAAGCTACAACACACTCCTCAGCTGCTGAGCTACACAGTCAGGAGCTGTATCTGAGATGGAGACAACCTGACATTGTTAACCAGATGGGTGTGGGTGAGATGCTGCAGTTTTATCAAGTCACTGCTGATCATGTCACAGTTGTGCTGTTCTGTTTGACATTTTCTGATGACATTTGGACATTGATGATGCTGTATTTGAGTTAATATCACCACAAGTAACTGATATTCCTGCCATGTTTGACTTTCATTGCAGTTGATATTTTTGTTAGCAGTATTCGTATGTTTGCAATATTCTGGTTAATAATCTGTTTCTGGATAATCATTTCGCAATTCACATGTTTATTTTTTTAGCAATATTCCACTGATGGTTGTTAATTCATTCAGTTGATACTTCATTTTCACCTACAAGTTTCCTCTGGTTACTGAGCGCTGAAATGAAATAATTTGATTCAGATTACAAATACAGTGTGACCTTTGTTAGTCCCACCGTAATCCACATAGATATGGCCAGAATTAATCTCCCGCCTGCTTTAGGCATCTTTAAAGATGAAACGATGATTTGTCATGTTTAAAAGATATCTATTTGTGACTTTTAGGAAATCGAATTTAAAAAGAAAATATATTATTTTTAACCGAGTAATGTCAGAGTGAATTAAAGAGGCAGTGGGAGCAGAAAGCGCCCAGTGAGGTAATTTAGATAATTATTTGGGAAGGACAAGTTTGCAGGGCTATGGGGAGAGCGCGGGGGAGTGGGATTGATTTGGATAGCTCTTTTCAAAGAGTAGGCACAGACACGATGGGACAAATGGCCTCCTTCTGTGCTGTAAGAATCTATGATTCTATGCGGTGTCTGGGAGGGGAGCAGCAATGCTGCAGCTTGTTTCACATTCCTTCCCTCTTATTGGGATGTGAATCCCCTTGGTGGAATGTTTAAACCGGAGAGGAGTGCTCCAGCCAGAGCCTGCCTGCTCTCCTGAGCAATTTGTGAATGGGGGGAGGTAGGCAGAGCATATAATGTGCCATAACTCCTTGTCAGGCGTGGAGGGAGCAATTGTGGGTGGATGTTGATAGAGGTCGGAGCCTGGCCACGGTGGGTGGTGATGTGTGTGGCTCTGCTTTGAATGGCTGATGTAGACCAGCTGCTCTCACACACATTGTCAGTCCCAACCTCAGTGGCAACAGGCTCCATTCACAACCCTCCTCCCCTGCCTCCCGCCAGGCTCAGTTCCCTGACACACCAGCCACTGCAACCACACCTCTACAACTGCCACAAATGGTACAAACACAAAGAGAAATCAGATTACAGTAAATCACAATTCAGAGGTGTGTTATTAGCAGGTAGCATGCCGACAGCCTGGGCTGGATGTGGAGCTGACCACACTCTGATGTTTAAACATTACAAGCCACCGAGGCATGTTTACTAATGTCTGTGCAGAATTGTCTTTTAGTAATGATACCATATATATACACACATATGCACACTCATATATACACACATATATATATATACACAACAACTTGCATAGCACCGTTCACACTGGACAGCATCTCAGAGCTCTTGTAGGAGATATACACAATTTGGGAGATTCTTCAGAAAATAAACCAAAATGGAAAGATACCTCTTTTGGCGTGGGAGACATGCAGTGTGAAAAATCATCATTTGTAAACTGACAATGGGTTTATTTGAGCTCTGGGATTCCCCTGTCTCTTTTCAAGCTGTATTTAGTCAGTGTATTAACATGCTGCCTTTCTGTGTTAGTGAACTGTCCCAGTGTGTGGGTATTGGGGCTGTGGGTTGTGGATCGCCAGTATGTGTCCTTTGTCGTTGTTGTTGTTGGATGTTTGTAAGGCTGTCATCAATCTCATTTCCACCCCTCAAACTGACGACAGAAACAACAACTTGCATTTATATAGCGCCCTCCATACCGGACGGTATCTATCTAACTGATCTATCAACCACTCAAACTGCAACACTTGTGAAGGTCTTTAATTTATTGTCAACTTAGTTGTTGTCAAACCAGCACAATATACAATCTTTTGTGTTTATATTTAATGTAACAGTCTGAAAAATCCAGATTGATTTTCAAAACACTTATTTTGAACTTGAACTCCTGTCTCAAGACCTTCGTCTTTAATTGTGCCTTGGTTCATCCTCCAACCGCCAGCCCTCTTGATTCCAATCCCCAGCTGGGGCGCTAACCCTTGACTGTCCAACTTCTTGGAACATCCTTCCAATGTGAAAGGTGTGATATCAATGCAATTTGTTGTTGTTGAATTCCAAACAGCGCTTGTACTTAATGAACTGGTCATCTACCCCAAGCCTTAGCTCTTGCCTACCTGCGCCTAATGCTTTATCGAATTAGGTAAGCAGGATGCATCCCTCCAGGGAGAGAGTGCACATTCCAACAATCTATCTCTGGGATATCCATATCTAGGAGGGATGCATGGAAATCTCAGTTTGGTTTGGATTCACTTAAGCATGGTGATGCACTCCTAAGTCCTCCGGGATGCTATCCTGCATGAAAGGTGCTGTATAAATGTGAGTTGTTGCTGTTGCCGCATGTGTCAACAGACAGCTGAACCCTGCACCAAAAAAAATAGGAAAACTTGGTGCTGTTCTTTGAATAGTAATACTTAAATAGCTGAAGAACAGATAGAATATTTTACAAGTCTTTGACACATACTGCTGCTCCAACCTTGAGCATTTGTGGGTGGAGAAGCCACCACCTTATTTGTTCTTGTATCATCAATCCTGAGTGAATGGCTGAGGTTGTACTGTAGCTTTGCTGTAGAACTAGGCACTGAATAATAACTCATGGCCAAGGGAAACTTTGGGCAGCCCCATTTTGCTAAACAAGCTTTGCAGAGCTTGTTCATTACGCCTGGAATGGAATTATCACTGGGTCTGCTGAGAAAGCAGCAATGATCAGTAATTTAGCCATTTCTGAATGCAACCTTGAAAACGTTTGAAGCTGCTGGTCCTCAGAATGGAGACCAGTCACCTCTGAAGTGAAAGGAATGAGCTATGAACAACAAGTAGATAAATTGGGGCTCTTCAGTTTTGAAAAGAGATGTCTCTGAGGGAACCTTATGAAGATATGTAAAATTATCAATGCAATTAAGAAAGTAAATCCAGAATGATACTTTTAGATGCATTAATGCAGCACAACCAGAGGGCACAGGTTTAGAGATGCAAAAGACAATTTCAGGACAGATACCAGGAAATATTGTTCCTGGTCCTCAAAATGGAGAACCAGGAAGTAATTCTTTCCTCTTGAGAAATGTTTTAGATGTGAAATATTTGATAGTAAATATTTCCCCATATCTCTTCACTCAGAGGCTAATTAACGACTGGAACAGGCTACCAGGGCTGGTTGAGGCCAGGACAGTGGACTCATTTAAAAAGCAGCTCTGATAGGATGGTGGATATTCTGGAAGGATGAGATCAGATGGACTAAAGAATTTTCATTATCCAAATCTGTCTTGTGATTTTATAAATATAGGCAGACATTTAATATAGCCCCTTATCATATCATTGAGACATCTCAAAGTTTTGTTGTGAATGTACAGACTATGTGTTTGTCCCATGAAATGATTAATTTTGTTTGGGGGATTTTGGCCAAGAAACTAGGAGAAATCTGATTTTAGTGTTTTATATAACTTTGATATATCTTATCTCCTATCCCCTCTCAGAACATACTTTGACCATGCTTTTGGTTATCATTCCCCTCCCCTCTCCTGGCTCCTCAGCTCGGGTGACCACTCGGCATTGTCAAGCAGTTTGAGCCATCCTCCCAAAGTGAAAGCTGCTATAATGATATTGTTGTGTATTGGCTTCTTCTCACTGGTCCCTATTAGCGCTGTGAAAATATTTTATACATCTTTTTACGACAGCACTGATCTCGGACGTCTTTTTAAAACATCCAAACTACCTTGTCAATCTGTCTGCTCCTTAACCTCGACAGGCACTGGCCTGCTCCACGTCACCTGCCCTGCTCCATGTACCCTGCCCGTGCCACCATCAGCGGTCGGGCTTTCAGCCTTTCTGCCCCCACCCTCTGGAATTCCTTGGGTTGTCCTCCAACCTGAAAGGCACTATATAAATGCAATGTTTTGTTGCTGTTAAGCTAATTAGCATTGTCTCCAGTAATTTGAATAATTGATAATTCTATTTAAAGTACTACTATGTTAAACTTACATACTAAATCCTCCTTACAGCCTGACTGTAATGTCTCCTCTGGCAATAATTTGATTGTAAAATTACCAACAGTAAACATTTGCCCAGAGTAACCAAATTGGTGCTAAATTCTCCATATTGGGGATGGATTTGTGATATTTACCAAATGGGGAGTTGGTATGAACTGTATTTTCCATTTTGCCATCGAATTTCAGATATTTGTTAAATGAATAGCTTATTTTTCAGAAAGTTGCCAACATGCATGAAAAAAGCCAGAATCTTTCCTGATGGTTGTCTATCTGGAGAGGAGTACTCGGGAGTTTGCTGGTCTGTATGACTTGGCTTCTCAACACATATTTGTTTTGTCAGTTGAGCCATCAAATGAACCTGCTATGTTTTTCTTACTTTACTTCTCCACACATTCTCCTTGCTTGTCACAGACTGCCTACATCATCTCTCTCTCCTTCCTCACATTTTCATTTCTTGAACTAAACTAAGCTTTTGTTTTTGTTGGGGTTTTATCAGATTCTTCCAGCTTTCTATCACCTACTAAGAGCTCTCAAAGTCTTGCTGCTCTGTACCTCATTGAGGTTCTCTCAGCCTGATTCACCTCTTTATTCTCCCTTTTTTACCTAGCTTTTCTGAGGCTCTTCTTTATTTGAGCTGTGTTGCCAGTTTCTTTGCCTCACAACTCAAGCTGCCTAATCCCTTCACACTCTGCCTTCCTCCTACTTTGCTGAGCTTTTCATAGACTCTCACAGCTTCTGTCTTCTTCACACAACTTCAGGTTGTCTTGACTGTCGTCCCTGATCCTCCCTCCCTAGCTCCTACAAGGCTTCCTGTTCTTATGCTCTTGCGAATTTGCATTAGTTTATCTTATAAGGACGGACCTCATTATGTTACATGTTACATACAATGATGTAGGTCTGTTTATAGTAGTGCATTTCTGGCTTCTGCTGCAGATTGTCTAGATTCCTGTGCAACGTGTACAGACCCACAAGGTCTCCTAATAGCTTGTGCTACACAGCAACTGTATCACTCGCAAGTGCAGTTGTATAACACAAAGGAAGTGACATCGTTGATGACCTGATGGCCCAGAAGTGCCATTTTTACAGCATACAGCACTTCATTATAATGCAGGGTCTGATTTCATGTTATAATAGGATCTGATTGTATCAACATGCCTCATGAGCTAGTAATAATCCTTGCATTTGATTTAGCATCTTATCACATCATTGAGATATCACAAGTGCTTCATAGGATTAGTGCAGTGACTGCGTATTTTTTGGGTGAATGTGGCAGCAAATTTGTGCTCAGCAGTATCTCACAGCCATGGAGTGAATGATCAATTTTATTTGGGAGATTGTTGGCCAGGTCAATCCCTTCTCCTTTTGAACAGTGCCATGAGATATCCACTTGGACAGAGAGACCTTGTTTAATATCTCATCAGAAGGATGTAATAGTGAGGCTTGTTGGTTTTAGATTTTAATTGTCACAATTCGCTATTCTTCAGGTTTTCTAATATTCTCTAAATCAAGGAAAATGAATTCCTGTCATTAAACATCTTTGTTTTTCTTTTTTTAATTTGAACCACAAACACAAAAATGTCTTGACCTCAGGATTGTCAGAACACCATGGCATCACTCCGTGTTGTTGCACACGTACCCCACTATTATAGTAGAGGGGGTGTCCTAGCCACAATACATAATTTCTTGCACATTGTGCAATTTCCCACTGCTTGAAAGCGCACAATACAATCAGCCTGATCCCATTTCTTTTCTCTCCCTCTTTTAACCTAGCTTTTCCGAGGCTCTTCTTGATTTGAGCCTCATATGTTTTCTGTCAAGCTCCCTTCACACTCTCTCTTCTCTCTACTTTTGTAAGCTTTTCACAGACTCTCACAACTTCTGTCTTCTTCATACAACTTCAGGTTGTCTTGATTCTCTTCCCTGATCCTCTCTCTTCCAGCTGCTATAAGGCTTCCCGTACTCACATTCTCATTATTCTTTTGAAAGTTTCCCCCTTTTTATGTAAAACCTATTTCAGTAGAATTATAGTCACCAACCATTAGTATGTACATTCTGTTCAATCCTTTTAATCTGCTCAAATAAGTCCTTGTTGGTTTAATCTCTGCCCTGCAGATATAATAGTCAGTCACTGTTCTTAGTTTCCTATATTTCCTGTGCTTCCTGTCACAGATTTAAACCCATATTTATTCTGACATCTTCCCTCTGAAGATATGTCTGTCCTTTAAATGATCATCAGATCTTCTCTGACTAATAACACATGCCCTCCCCAATTTGTCCTATGCCTTACTTTCTATGTCCTCTATTGATGTTCTGTAACCTACTTATTAAAATGTGTTGACCCTCCCTTTTTAACCATGTATCTGTCATATATATTGAGTCATATTTCCATTCAACTTTGAAGGTTGAACAAGTTCTGGCTGATTAATTTGCTTACAAGTTCTCGGGATTGTAATGAGCTTGGTTGCTAGATTTCCTTCCCCACCCCAACTTCCTTTATTTAAAATTTAGTTTTGATAATTGAACCTTGGGATGAACTCATAGTTATGACTTCAGATTTGCATTTGCAGGATCACAATTTGAATGCTCTGAATGCAAAATTTGAGCTTAAAATAAACCAATGTACAAACAGGAAAGCCCCTGTATAACCGTGACAGGGTATGTAATAGTTGTATAGAGAAATAAAATGAAAAAAAGCATATTATTCAGCTCAAAGTTTAATTGTATATTGCTATTACAGGAGAGGAAAAAAGCACTTCACATACAAAAAAAATCAGATGAATAAGTAAGCTGCCTTGTAGCTGTTCAAAATGAAAGCACTACATTGGAACAGAGAAGCATGTATTTGTACTCTTCAGTGGCCAAATGCAATCTGAAAACTAAATAACATCAATGTTTATTGTCAGTCACAGTTAATAATACAAGAGAGCCTGATATCTGGACCAGCCCCTTTATGGATATGGAAATAGTGGTTAATTGGTTACAATTTAACTGTAAACTTATTTCATCATGAGTTATATTATTATAAGGAAGTGACTCATCAGATGTGTCAATTCTTTTAGCGTTCTTTGAGGATGTAACTAGCAGGTTAGATAGGCGGAACCAGTAGATATAGTGTATTTAAATTTTCAGAAGGCATTAGACAAGGTGCCACATAAAAGGCTGCAACACAAGATTAGGGCCCATGGAATTAAAGGCAATATATTAGCATGGATCGAAGAGTACCCAAGTTCCTATTTACTGTTACTGTGTTAATGATTCCTCAGCGCTCGGTACAGTGCAGCTTCTGAGAAATATATTGATCCCACAAGCCAGGGCGTAGATCCCAGACAAGGATAGCTGAGCACACTCTGACTTCCCCTGCCAGCAAGTCCTGGTCACTAATCAGAACCACACCACGTGGACAACAACAACAACAAGATTCCATTTATAGAGCGCCTTTCACGTCGGGAAGACGTCCCAAGGCGCTGTACAGTTGGGTCAGGACCCGAGCAGGGGGGAAATGGTCAGGGTGAGGGGAGGGAGCGAGGAGGGGGTAGAGAGTCGAGAGGGGAGCTGAAGGCATGGTCAAAGAGAAAGGTCTTGAGACTGGCCTTGAAGGAGGAAAGGGAGGAGACGGCGAAGGCACTGGGGGATAGAGTTCCAGAGCCTCGGGGCTGAGAGGCTGAAGGGCCGACCACCGATGTTGGGGCGGGGGATGTGGAGACCAGAGCCAGAGGAACGGAGGGTACGGGCAGGTAGGTTGGGGGATAGTAGGTCGGAGAGGTAGGAGGGAGCAAAGCCGTGAATGGCCTTTGTAGGTGAGGATGAGGATCTTGAAATCGATCCTCTGGGGGATGGGGAGCCAGTGGAGGCGAGCGAGGGTGGGATTGATGTGGTCCTGAAGCCTGGTGCGGGACAGTACACGAGCTGCAGAATTTTGAATGACCATTTGTCTTTGGGTCTTTGGGTCTATAGGCCTCTTAACTACCTGGTATCCAGTAAAACGCAGACAAAAATCACTCACCATCCCACACGTTTTCTGTAGAGTGAGAACATGAATCCGTTCATGGAAAAGGCCTATTCTCTCACAAAGGTGTGTGAGTAAGATGTGTATTAAGGAGGTATTTAAACTGTGTTAAGGATGTGTATATTAAGGAGGCATATGATGTGTCAGTCTGGCCCAGGTCATAGCACCCTCACCTTTAAGTCAGAAGGTTGTAGGTTCAAGCCTCAAGTGTGTTGCAATGTTGGAGGTGCCATCAAGTGGATATTAAAGATCCCATGGCACTATTTGAAAAGAGAAGCGAGATTCTCCCGGTTTCCTAACCAACAACACCTCCAAATAAAATTGGTCAATCCCTTCATGGCTGTTTGTGGAACAAGGTCATTGCACTTTACAGTATATCCTGTGAATCACTTTGAGACGTTCTCGTGATGTGAAAGGTGAAATACCAAATGGGATAATTGATTATCTAGAGGTGTATAAGAAGGTGTGCATTAAGAAGTTTTTTTTCCCATTTACTGTTACAGGAGGATTTGAAACATTTTCTTCCGAATATCCTGAATTCTGTGTAAAGACAAAATGTCCACCTGGAGTTCTCTCGCCCTCCAAACCAGAGTCACCTGAGTTGAGTTGGAGTTTCTGCAGCACGCCTCTTCATGACCAGGTAGAGGCAGCTTCTTATAACATTCGCGCATCCTACTATATTCACACAGTAAAGTTGGAGACAAATGCTGAAGTCTCATAAATAAGTAGAAAGCATCAACTTATTAAGCAGGAAACGTGATGTACCCATAAGTGAGACGGCAATAGAGGGTTATGTGAGAGAGGATTCAGAGGGGTAGGAGCCAGAGAGGAAGATAAACAACAACAACTTGCATCTCGGAGCACATGGCAAGTCTGGTTTGGCCAAATGGTCAGTTTCCATGCTGTAGCACTCTGTTAATTTTGTGTTTAAAAAAAACTGCTGTGAAATTGCACTCATCAGCTGGCTGGCAGGTGTAGTGTTGTTTGCCTGTTCAAAGTTATGTTTTTAGGGTCTTGTGACTTAACATGAAGCTTTGATAATGCAATGATGCCTTTCCAGATGTTTTATGTAACAAACCACTAGAACTAAGAAGGTCACAATTTGTGGTGTTGCTAAATGAATTATGTTCCTTATTTACAGAAAAAGATTAAAATTTGTTTTGAACTCCTTCCCACCCCCACATTTTCTGAATAATTGTTGGCACAAATCTGGCTGTAAATCTCTGGTTGGCTGAAATCCATCCCTCCTATGATCATTTTCAAACACGAAAACAGTCTTTCCAAGCTTATAATAATCCTTGCATTTGATATAGCATCTTAAAGTGTCAAAGCATTTCACAAAATTTAATTTAAAGTAGAGGTGAGAGTGCTACAACTGAGGCAGGCTGACACCTGCTCAGAACTTATCATCGGGATACTGACCTGAGCTGATCTGAGCTCAGGCACAATCCTGTGATTAAGCTCAGGGAGGCTGCTTTTAATACTCGCAAACAATAATTGGATGTGTGGAAATCTTTGTCAAAACATGTTGCCAATTAAATGTTCGCAGACGATATTGTGCTGCTGGCAGACTCACCTGGGGATCTACCAACATCTGGCTGAAAAGTAGGATTGATAGTGGACTCCGGGTAGGTTTTCTGCTTGGCTTTTTGGGCAGGAAGGGTGAGTGGCATGGAGGAACTAAATAAGGAAAGAAAGTTGATTTTCTTTTAAAAAGTAGTGTTGATTGCAATTGTCAATGCTTGCAGGCACTTTCATTGAGTAAAGATGAACTGTGATGTGTAAGCATTAAATACCGAAAATATTCAACTCCTGGCCTCAGTCAGGATCCAGTTGTTATCAGAGGCTCCAGGATTATAGACAGGAGAAGCAGAATTTGTCTCTGTATTCATTCAGCTGCAGTCTGCCTCTAATGTAATCTCTTGATATCACGTTTAGAGATAATAATCTTCCTGTTATTGCGTCTCATGCTGTACTGATTCCTGTACATTTTTGATCATTAGGGGATCCCTGTGGAAATCCTTCATTTTCTCTATCTTGGAAGTGCGTATCATGCATCCAAAAAAGACACATTAGATGCTCTGGGGATTACAGCTCTTCTGAATGTCTCCTCTGACTGTCCGAACCATTTTGAGGATCATTACCAGTATAAATGTATTCCAGTGGAGGACAACCATAAAGCAGACATTAGTTTGTGGTTCATGGAAGCAATAGAATACATAGGTAAGACACGTTTGCAGTACTATATTCCCACAGAAAAAAACCAAATGCCTTAATTCCAGCATCCCACGTCTTTCCAAGTGGTTATCTTAGTACTGCTTGAACAACTGGTACTTTGGAGCTATTTCAGCTCTCGAAGACACTGCCCCACCTGAAAGGCGTTATATCAATGCGAGTTGTTGTTATATTTGTAATTGGGTTTTCTTACTAGTGAGAAGGAGATATTAGCAATGGCAAGTGTGAATTATAGATGCCCAGAAGGTATAGCACAGGAGCTGGTGTGAGCTCCTCCATTGGAGTTAACAGTGTGTAAAATGTGCTCTAGAATCTACTAATACATGTTTAATATGATAAAGCTAATGCTGATTTTGCTTTAGTGTCATTTTGCTGGTGCCATTCTTGTAACTGTGGCCAGCAGAGGGAGCTGAAGCATTGTATACAATTTTGTGTAAAAATATTTAGAAAATCCAACACATTGCAAACATCTGATTTAAGAGAATTTCTTCCCCTCCCAATATCTAACATTTGTGTATAACCTTAGGCTTTGTTATGGGAGGGAACCATTTCCCTCAGATTTCAATTACAAAGTAATATAAGAACATACTTGAGGCGTAGTGGAGGTTGGCAAATTCCAAGAACTGCAGCTCATCAAAAGTCAATGCCTTCAAAAAAAAAGTTTGAGGTTAATAAATGGGATGTTTTAATACACAGTGGAATCTGCTTTTGCCGGACACCGGTTAACCCGGACGCCAGGTAAATTGGACAAAACGCCCGGCCCGATTCATTTGTATTCTTACCTGTTTTAAATATGATGATAATTCAGACGAAAATATGAATTAAAGGAATGTTCTAAGACTGCAATCCTTATTGTGATGAGTTCCCTCTTTATCTCACGCACAGTTTACTATTTTTATTTACAGATTCTGTGAAGAAAGTTAATGGAAGAGTCCTTGTGCACTGCCATGCTGGAATTTCACGATCTGCCACAATCTGCCTTGCGTATTTAATGATGACTAAGCGGGTGCGATTGGACGAAGCATTTGAGTTTGTCAAACAGCGACGAAGTATCATTTCCCCCAATTTCAGCTTCATGGGACAGCTCTTGCAGTTCGAGTCTCAGATCCTGACCTCCTCGTGTGCTGTTGAAGCTATCAGCCCGTTAGGGGGCTTGAGAGACCCAAGTAAATCTTCATCAACTCCCACCTCTCAATTTGTCTTCAGCTTCCCCATGTCTGTCGGAGTCCATTCAACACCAAGCACCCTTGGTTACTTACCTAGTCCAATCACAACCTCACCAACCTATTAACAGAGAAGCATCAATAAACGTGTTTAAAATGTGTACGATTCATTTCCAAGTAAAGTAGTTTTCACTCTGAAACTCCGAGATTAAAGAAGCAATAAGAAACAAACATTCAGCTTGGAAAACTAATGTAGAAAATTGCTGAGTTTCATACCTCATCTCTCAAGCATAATAATTTGGAAGGCTCTTCTGCAAGTCTGACTATTAGTTCTACAGTAGAGAACATTTGGAGCTTTAATAATCGGCTGGAAGAGCCATTGCATTTACCTCAGTGTTTACAGCCACTGATTGATCCATGGATTCCTCCTTTGTGAACAGGTTGCCACTTTAAGCCCTCATATTACATTCACAGTGAAGTGTTACAATAAATATTTGCTAATGGCCTTGCCTGATTCTACCAGCTTTGTATTGGAAACACTAGATTTCACATACAGAAAATAAACTTGTCAAAGCCAGGTTTTCTTCAAAACTAGTGAAGTGCTGTTCCTGCTTGACAGAGCAATACTAAAACTGCAGACAAGCTTATTTGGAGTTAGAAGCTGATGGTTTGGGTGTAATCCATGTTGGATAAGGTCAGCTCTTTATAGGCACCCCTTGTGGTGTCCAACTAGCGTTGTAAAATCAAAGAGAAGTCAACCACAGCACTGGAGAAGCCAGCTGCAAAAATTGCACCTTATTGTGCCAGAGAGGGGTGATTTGAAATGCAAAACAATGTGGCGTTAAAGCACAATTTTTTAAGGTATTTTTTCTCAATAGGACTTTGTCTGTACTGTATAGTCAGTGGATAGATGTGATCATTAGTTTTGATGAATGGTCAATCTTTTGTTCCTTACACATCATGNTTTTTATGCTCTCACTTTATTTTGAAAGAACAAAATATAATGTCAATCCTTTTTTCAGGATCCAGAGGATGGTGGGTTCAAAGTGTAGAAATACTTAATTGATCAGTATATCTTTGTTTAAAGGTCCATAGAAGTCACTCCACTCAGTGCTTTTATTATTTTAAAATCTCTGCCCCAATGTAAGGCAATCGCTTTGTGTTGCAATGCTATGTGTTAAGGGATTTCTTCCTTAAAGTGGCAGCATTCAATCTGTGTAATTTTGATTTCAACTTGTATAAAATGAATTCTGTAGATTTAATGCCTCTGGAGGGGTCATTTGTATGTGCAATCACGTTTCTTATTTTATGACCTGTCAATATAGTAAATCACTGTTTGATTAACCTAATAGGATCTTACTGGTAAAACTAGTGAAGAATATGCACACATTGTGCCGAGCACTTTGAAAGTAATGCAATACAATGAGGACACACTTGAGTATTCGCACGTCATTCCTTTTACATACTTATGAATTGGGGAAGGCAAATGCTGTTTGAAATGTTTGATGAAAAAGTTGATGCACGGTGCAGACATCATGCATTAGTTTTATTTTGTATATAAGTCATCTAATTTGACAATGGAAATGTCAGCATCTCTGTCTGATTTATTTAAAGTTATTGCCTGAAAGTTATTTGTAAAATATGAAATTAAAGTTAGATCTTTTCAACTTTCATTTGTTACTGCACATCCATTGCTATTCCATGCAGTGACTTTAAATAAGCAAATATCACACAGCATTTTAAATAATAATTTAATCATGAAACACATTGTGGTAAATAATGGCCTTGAATTGTATCAGTTTGCACTACTCATTTTATATAATTGTGAATCAGAGGATCAAACCCCAGGGTTGATGTCTAAGTGTTCAGTACCACTGCCCAAGTTGTATAAGAATCCTCTAGTACTCGAGAATACGTTACCCTAATACTGAATTATTGGTGCTGCCACATCATAATTTTTTATCTTTAATCCTGTGGTGGAAGCAATATCCTGAAACAGTAAAACATTTGAAAATATGTATTGCATAAAATAAATATTTGCATTTGATACAGGACTTCCAGGAGGACGTCTTCACAGGATACACATAAAGTGTAATTGACTATTTCTAGAACACATCAGACACACAGCAATGTCCCCAAAACAGCCATGAGGTAAATGATTCATTTTGTTTGGGGGATTGTTGACCAGAATGCCAGAAAGACTCCCTTCTCTTTTTAAATAGTGTCATGGGATCTTTAACATCCATCTGAGCATGATCAGATGGGACCTCGGTTTGACATCTCATCTGAAGGAAGGCATCTCCACCAATATTGCATTCTCCTCTGCACTGTACTCACCAATCTGAAGCTATCTGCTGCCTCTGCTTGGTGGGCTCTGGCCTGCTCCATGTTCCCCGCCCTGCCTGCCCCACCATTGGCAGTCAGGCGTTTTTTCTGCCCTAACCATCCGGAACTCCATCCCAGAGTCACTTTGCCTCGCCCCACTCCCTTGCCTCCTTCAAGACCTGTCTGAAGACCTTCCTCTTTGAATGTGCCTTCAGCCATCCTCCTAACCCTAGCCACCATTGCTGTTCCACCCCGTTTGATTCCAAACCCCATCTTGGATGCAAACCCTTCACTGTCCAGCACCTTGGGACATCCTCTCAATGTGAAAGGTTCTATAAAATGTAATTTGTTGTTGTTGTCAGCCTAGATTATGATCTAAAAGTCATCAGGACATATGAATCAAATGTGAAGAGAATACTTTCAAATTTAGGAAATCAAAATATTAACTCCATTTTATATTTTTTCTAATTTTCTCTGACTACAAGTCGTGGATTATCGTTGTATCTTTGGTTGACAGTCAGCTGATAATGAAGTACACAGCATTGCACACAATGTTACCAGCTGTAGGGCAGGCAGCGTTTGCAAACAAATAGATCTGTTACATGATGATGCTTGCGCCCTGGGACATCTTTCCGACATCAAGGGTGCTATACAACTGTAATTTGTTGTTTTGTCTGAGTGGCCATATTCAATAGGCGTTGCTACACCATGCTATTCGGATCCATTAGTTCCGTGTAAATAGCTCCGCTATGAGGCTGTGCGGAGAGTGACAGCAAAAGGGGCCGAGCTGGAGGTTAGAGGGGTCATACTTCCAGGAGGTAATATGAGGTAAGAGGCAATGTGGGCAGCAGGATCCATGTCTAACAGCAATAGAGCTTATCTTATTGGTACTGAAAAAATGTTTTGATGTAGACGATATTGATGAATTTGTGCACTTTCTGGATGTCATATCACATATTAAATGTGAGAAAACTCCCAAGAGAATTGCTTAAGATTATGAAATAGAATCATTTGGTGGAATCAACATTTCCAACTGGGGCAGTTGATCTACATACAATCTAAACCCGACCAGTAACAGTCTGAGAAGATGAGTCTCATCAAAAACTCACTCAGATCTACTATGATCCAGGTAGATTGAATGCACTCGCAATTCTGTAATATTGAGCATGATTTGACACCTGCACTAAGATTTGATCCTTTCATCTGTTCCTGTAAAGAACAAGTCATTGTGTTACTAAGGGAAATCATTCAGGAGTATTCAAGAGATAATCAAAGGAAGGCACATCATAATACATTTTATGATCCATTAATATCAATGTATCAATAGCCATCGACAATGTAAATCCCAACTGATTACTCCTACAGATGAGCAAGGACATTACTCAGAATTCATACGAACAAACTTTGTTCTTGCAAATACCAAATAATTCAGCAATAAAATAAACCTTTGGGAGACATAATCAATGTTTAATATTTACACAGATCGATGTCAAGGTGATCTAAATGAGTATAAGTCTAATCTCTCAACCTACTATCCCATTTCCAACCTACTCTTCCTTGCCAAAGTCCTGGAATACGCAATGTTGCAGGTCAACGTTGGTCACACCTCTCCCTTCACTGCCTCGAGCCCCTGCAGTCTCCTTTTTGCACTGCCCAGAAGCGGCGCTTGTCAAAGTCACAAACGACATTCTATCTGTGACCCACTCCTCCCTCCACCCACTGGCTCAGAGTCAGGCTCTGCCACTGTCAAGTTCTCTGAGACACTTCCCTGCATGGAGGGCGCTACATAAGGGCAAGTTGTTGTATAAGTCGCTCTGGATTGAGTTGTAGTATTGTGGTAAACTTCTGTTTTATTTCAGTGGCGAATGAAGACACATTGATCACACAAATAACTCAAATGAGATTGTTAACTTTTGTGGTTTGTTTCTTCAATTTCATTAATTGAAATACAACCTAATGGCACTGCCATTGCTTGTGTATACAATATTTTATTGCTCATTATTTGGAAATGTTATCAGATTTAACACAATACTATCCTCACTGCATACAATTACTTGTCATAATTGCACTAGCTTCTTTAATAATGTCCTTGGCATCTAGTATGTTATGGGGATCAGTATATTGCTTTGCATTTGTAGTTTTATTAATTGGATTTTTTAAAAATTGTTTCTTAGTGAAGTAAAAATATGGTTGGGAAATATATCACCAGGGGACACACATATATGATAACAAGAAGGGGATCTTAGGGAATTTAGGAGGAACTTCACACAGAGGGTAGTGAGATTGTGGAACTCACTGCCTGATGCAGTGGTTCAATCAGATAATATAGATGCATTCAAGAGGGAGAGGGGAATAGAAGGGTTTGGGAGGGAGTAAAGAATGGGTGGAGACTCAAGTGGAGCATAAACACCAGCAAGGACTGGTTGGGCCGAGTAGCCTGTTTCCGTGCTGTACATTCTTTGCAAATCTTTGAAAATACCTTTTGTGAGATGATGCAATATCCTTAAATTTCTACCAAAACAGTGGTGATCTAGTCAGACACGGTGCAACTGAATATTTCCTTCTGCAACGAATTTGGGATTCTGTGAGGTTTACCACCTCTTTGGTTTGACAGTGTTGGGTGCCTGGTGTGGACATATCAGCAGTTTGCACTCACCTATGGGAGACTTGTATAGCAGTTGAGTCATTGTGTCACTGAGGCTTGGTGCAAAAAAATTGCATTTGGCAGTCTTTGAATCCAGGGCCAGAAATGTTGCCTTGTCATTGTATAACATCCACATTTAGTTTGTTTACCAAATTAAACAAAAATAAGACTCAGAGTCGCCCTCTAGTGGATAGAGAATTTAGTTCTTGTACATAGGAAGTCATCATACAAAAGTAACCAGGGTTTAGGTTGTCTTTGGTGCATAGGTCTACTTTGAGTCTAGGATCCCTAAAAATTAAGAATAAATCACAAGTACTGATGATGATAATAAGGGTAGATTCAATTCAGATTTTAAAACAGCTGCTAAATTTTACCTACAAAATGATACAGCATCAATTATTTGTGAAGCGCATTGGGATCTTTTGACAATATACGCACTGTATCAAATACACTGTATCAAATTTGTGTAGTCCTGTAGCTCAGTGGTTAGAGCACTCGCTTTGCAAGCGAGACACTTGAGTTCAATTCCAGACAGGGCGAAACCTTGGGCAAGTTTCCTTACTCCACACAGAGCCTAATAATAATCCCTCCAAAACCAAAAACAATAATAAAAGTTGGTCATTTTCAATCTACGACTGTTTGTGGGACATTGCTGTGCGCAATTGGCTGCCGCGTTCGCCCACAAATATACAGTCAATTCACTTTACAGTGTGTTCTGTGAAGCGCTTTGGGACGTCCTCCCGACGTGAAAAGCGCTATATCAAATTCAAGTATTAGTGTTAGTACATGGATTACTAGTATTCTACACTGGCTCCAAAAGTCAAGCCTGTCTCATGTGATATAGCACCTTTCACTTTGGGAGGTTGTCTCAATATTGTTTCATAGGATATACCGCAGCATGACTGTGATACGAAAGTGATTTTCTTCAATGATTAACTTACGATTTGAGAATCCAACATTTTATTCTAGGACTGACAATCTACCAGAATTTCAGCCCAATGTATGAATTCTTATGCAAGGTGTTACCCTAAGTATTATTCAGGTATCTTTAGACACCATCAGTAAATTTTTTTTAGAAATGTAGCATTGGAGACTTATTAGAAACATATATGAATAATTCATGTACTCTGAAAGAAAAGCATTGTATTTTTAAAAAAACTTCCATACACAAAGGGATGAATATCTAAGCACTTAAATAATAATCATTACATTTGATATAGAGCCTTAAAACATTTTCTACATGTTTCAAAGCACTTCATAGAATATACTGTACAGTGAATTGATTGTATGTTTTGTGGGTGAAACGCGACAACCAATTGCACACTGCAGTGTCCCACAAACAGGCATGGATGAAGTGACCAAATTATTATATTTTTTTAACTTTTTTTTGGAAGCGATTATTACCCCGGAAAAGCAATCTGTCAATCAACTAACTGGGTTCCTACTTACTGCTAGGTAAACAGAGATGTGTGGAGTAAGGAAACTTGCCCAGTGTTTAGCCCTGCCTGGGAATTGAATCCAGGTCTTCTCGCTTGTGAGGCTAGCATTCTAACCACTAAGCTACAGGACTCCATTAGTTAACTTTGTTAACTATAGGGGTCCTGTAGCTTATTAACTATAAGGATAGGTTGTGTAAACTAGGCCTATATTCTCTAGAGTATAGAAGAATTAGAGATGATCTAATAGAAACCTATAAGATTCTTCAGGGTAGATGCCGTGAGACTGTTTCCCCCGTTGGAGAATCTAAAACTAGGGTCATTATCTTAAGATTAAGGGTCAGCCTTTTTGAACTGAGTTGAGGAAACATTTCTTCACTCAGAGGATAGTGAATTTGTGGAATTCTCTACCCCAGAAGGCTGTGGGTGCTGAGTCTTTGAACATATTCAAGACTGAGATTGATAGATTTCTAAAGGATAGAGGGATTAAGGAATATGGCGGGTAAATGGAATTAGGTTAGAGGATCAGCCGTGATCGTATTAAATGGCGGGGCAGGCTCGAGGGGCCGAATTGCCTACTCCTGCTCCTACGTCTTATGGACTGAGGAGAGATGCGCATGGTAATCGTACCTCTCACACCGCCTGCACTTCATCTCCTCAAACGGCTTCTCCTCTAGCCCCCGGACGATCTCGTGCAGCGTTCCTCAGGGCTCTGTCATTGGTTCCCTTCTCTTCAATATCCTCTATATGCTCCCTCTTGGTGACATCATCTGCAGCCATGGGGTCAACTTCCACATGTGTGGGGATGACACCCAACTCTACCTCTCTGCCTCCACCCTCGACTCCAGGACCACTGCTGTCCTGACAGAAGGTCGTCAGACATCAAGTGCTGGATGAGAGACAACTTCCTTGAATTGAACTTCAACAAGACCGAGGCTCTCCTGATTGGCTCCCGTCAGCACCTCCTCACCTCAGGTGCTAACAGCGTCACCATCCATGGTTGCATCCTTGCTGTGTCAGTCCGGAACCTTGGGGTCTTGTTTGAACCTCAACTATCCTTTCTACCTCACATCTGTGCCATAACCCGCTCTACCTTTCCCCACCTCCGCAACGTCGCCCGGCTCCACCACTGTCTCACACCTCAGGCCACAAAAACCCTTGTATATGCTTTCATTACATTGTGGCTCGACTATGCAAACTCACTGTTTGTCGGCCTCCCCAACTCCTCCCTCCAGAGGCTGCAGATCATCCAGAACTCTGCAACCCATGTCCTCTCCCACACTAGGCTCCATGATCCTATCACCCCATCCTCTCCCAACTCCACTGGCTTCCCATCACACAAAGGACACAGTTCAAGATCCTGGTCCTCGCCTTCAAAGCCCTCCGCAGTCTTGCTCCTCCCTACCTCTCCGACCTCCTAAGCCCCTACCACCCTGTTCACTCCCTCTGCTCAGCAGGCTCCGGCCAGCTTCACGTCCCCCCGCCTTGCTCGCCCCACTATTGCAGATGGCCTTTACACCACTCTGCCCCCACCCTTTGGAACTCCATCCCGCAGTCCCTCCGCCTCACGCCCTCCCTTGCCACCTTCAAGACCCATCTCAAAACCCTCCTCTTCAACCATGCTTTGGATCTCCCTGCTTCCCCTTCTTCCACCACCCCAACCCTCAGCTCTGGTCCATAACTCTGTCTGTCCAGCACCTTGGGACGTCCTCCTGATGTGAAGGGCGCTTTACAAATGTAATTTTGTTGCTGTTGTAATCACTCTACCTCATCAGCTTGTGATTTTCACAGTATTTTCCATACTTGTACACAGAGGATCAAAAGGACCATCGATTACATTTTATGTTAGTTTTCCATAAAGCAAAGCTTTTGCTAATTGAGCTTATTGCAATACCATTCAAGTAATTTGATGCTTTCTGTAAAAATGTTTGATTCCGTGAGTCATTTCTTCTGAAACTCCTGAGGATTTAGTCAATTTAAAGATGATTCCAACAATTGGCTTCACAATCCCAACAAAGGATTATGGATAAATCTAAAGCTATCCGTTAATCTATGTAGGTTATGATTTCTTATGATTAGAAAATGTATAAAAGAAATTGTTGTGCTAGGAAATGTAGCTTTTCATTTCAAAAGGACTCAACTGTCCTGCAAATGTCATGCTCTGCAGTTGCAGATTTTTTAAATTTAGCTTAATATGTCAATACATTTTACTGATTGTATCATTAAATACAATTCCTTCTAAACATGCAAGGTTTGAAACTCCGGTAGACAAACTTTAAAGTGATATTACTAGTTTACAGGGGATGTGGGGTTGAATCAGTTCAGTCACACTCAGATACTCCAGCGCAGGTCCATCAAGCACGAATACCATCCATCAAGTAGGAAATGAGGCAGACAATCACAGCTTGGCCTGGGAGCTGAATAGGACTATGGCACCAAGCAACCACACAAGGCAGTGGAGTTTCCCAAGCCTCGATCTTAGATTGATCAAACCTATCAAAGAACCAGCATTTTATTAGGTATTGGGTATGCACTGTTACATTCTGAATTATACTCTCCTCATGCTGCATCTTACATCACCAAATCTCCACCTTTTGTGAGCTATGAACAACGATACAGGCTCAAGCTGTTCAGTCTTGATGATTTTGCAGATGAGCTAGAAATTTCAGCTAAAGTGAAGTGGGTTCCTGGAGAAAGATCATACCCACAGCATATGAAGCTGATAGATAGTTATATGACCAGTCAATACAGATCTAACTTCTGCGAAGCTGAGATATGCTCAGTCATTCTATGAGTCCAACGCATGGCAGCAGAGAGAGCCATCAATGCGTCAAAACAGCCATTTTCTGCTAAATGACTCCACATGTTTTCAAGAAAATTCAGCCCTTCCACGAGCATGTTCAGTGATGCCCTAGTTATGTGATGCTGCCCACTCCTCCTCACCAGATTATATTGGTTACCAACATTTGTTTCTCCAATATCTCCCAAATCTGCTGAGTCTTGTGTTCTGTTTAACCCGGCATATGCAGAATGATGTGAGCTTCGAAGATGATAGACCTGTATTATAACCTGGTCATGTTATGGTTCCAATGCACATCGTGACTTGCATTTAATTTTGGGTGCCGTGTTGATTCCATCTGTAATACAGGAACTGGCAGAATGTTCATTCGCAGCCATGATCTTATTAAACAGCGGGGCAGGCTCAAGGGGCCGAATGGCCTACTTCTGTTCCTACGTCTTATGGTCTAACTCTCAATCAGTGACTGGAGTGTCTGAAAATAAATCAAAAACTGGTTTATCAGATTGGCATCACTGCAGTTTATTAACAGTTACTTCAGTACCACACACGTCACGACTCAGCACATCTTTACAAGTAAAACCTTCCACACAGCTGTACACTTTGAATTTAGGAATATTTTCAGAGTTAAATGAAAGAAAATCAAAAGTCTAATTAAAATAGTTATTTTTACCATGTGGGTTTACAAGTCCCTCATCCTTCTTGTTGGTGCAAACATATTCACATTCCAACATTATTTTCGCTGATATTACTACCAAATACATTTACAAACTAAAATACATATGTACAGTCTCCATTGTTTATACGTACAATTTCAAGCCACTGGAAAAGTAAATGGCATCTATATTAAATTAGTCAACACCCATTTCAAGTGTGCTGCAAAACATTAGCACCTTGTATTGACAAATGTGCATATTAAAAATAATACCATAATTACAAAGTAAAATACAAAACAGAAGGTCACTTGATTCATCAAGTACAATACACAATACATTCCATAACATACTGCAAATGGTAATCTAAGATATACCAATAAGATCAAATACAACTTAGTCTGGTGGTGCAAAGCACAAGAAAGCTTATTCAAAACAGCATAACAAATGCAATGGCTCTTAAAACTAAGCATTTTAGCATGGAATACTCTTAGTTGAGGACTGAATGCCTTTTTGCATTATATGTTGATGAAAAGATGTGAATTTACCAAAGAACCAATGCATTATTGCAAGCTTTTTTTTAAACTAAGCTGTATATGTGTGTATGTATGTGTGTGTGCAGTTGGTTCGGGGGTAGGGAAGAGGGTGCCTGGATATCATCTAGTCTGTGCACGGGACCACCTTCATGAACACTTTCATACTGTACAAACCCAAACCATCTTTTCAGAAAGTTCTCAAAAATTCAAGATAATTTGGCCACTTTGGATCCACAGCTCTACACTATATTCTGAAGGTGAAAAAGATCGAGAAAACAAGCTTAAGTTATTTGCTTGCTCCATAACACTCCTTCATATAAATAATATTCCCTTCCCTTTGTATTTAGTTCAAAGCAAGAATTACTGCTGAAGTTCAATTTCTCAACCAGCAGATGGTAATATTGCACTACCAAAATGATTTGTGCAACATTTAATATTAGTCCAACATTTGCAATGGCCTAAAGCCCAACTCCTTAAAGGAATTAAAAATTCTGCTAGATTTATTCATCTTTGTAATTAACACAAACTACTGCAAAACATTTGCTAAAACAATTTTCTTTTGTGCTAATAAATGTGATTATCCATGCAAGATTAAAAAAAGGGATAAATAAATCATACCAAGTACGGTATCAATGTGAAAAGTTAAGTACAATAGCAAAACAAATGTGCAAACAAGTTCATCATGTCATAAAAGTTATTTTGCAGCAGTATTGCTATGAAAGCAACTGTAAGGATATATATTTCTACTTCTGATGACGTACACAGGTTCTGTTTTTAAAACAATGATTCCTCAACACGCCCTTCAGTTACGCTGCAGACATGCTTTTCAATTTGATTAAAGCTTTCGGAAGGCTTGCTTACAAGATTAAAAATTTAATTAGTGTATGCTCAATTACAAAACATAACCGTCTGAAAAACATCAAACCAAGAGGAAATACTTGCATAAGGCCAAAAAATAAAACAGAAGAGGGAAGATTTGAATAACGAAATTCCAGATTAAAAGTTAGTATAATACGTGTACAACTTTGTATAGTCAATTCAACCCTAACAGTATTTTCCTGTAAGGAGTTTATAGGGATAACATTTTAAAAATCAGTTCCAGCTACTGAAATGGAGCAGATATATTCTAGTTTAGTAAATCCACTATCCACTCATTCAAGTAAAAGTGTTGTTAGTTGCACAGACTGCTCCAGATCCAAAGTCGAGGATAACAAGATAAAAATAAGACATTTTCAGAAAATCCTATGTATAGCAAAGAGCTTGAAGGTTGTTACACAAGTCCTCTAACACTTTTAACACACAAAGGTTTTGTGTCATCGTAGTCCAATAGCCTATTTTTGCAATCCAGTCCTTCTAATATTTAACAAAAGAAATTTAAGGCCTAGTTGCTTTTCCCTGAAATAAAGGGCTGAAATTTGTAGGGTTGATAACCCTTCAATGTGATAATTATCATCACCTGATAAGTATCATCAGCAATAATCATCACAAAGGAAGAATTAGTGAATTCTGTAAAAAGATGATGGTTTCTCATTTCCCAAATTAGTCAGCAGCATACTAGGAACAAGATTTTATTTGATTCTAGCTACAAGAGTGGGTTTTAACTTTTTTTTCACTCTCCAGCCATTATCTCATGTAGAAATTCGTAATGTTATATTATTTTTAAATTCTCCCCACCAAAAAATTGATTTTCCCAATTGGTCAGCCCTCCTTCTGGCCTGGAGAGATTTTGTGTTTCATTGATAACGGCTGGAAAATAAATAAATTAATTGATAGGCCTTTCCAGTGGCTAGAATGTAAAACTGAAATCTTATTTCATTTGTAAACAAGGTAGTGCTGATAAAAGAAACAGGAGAAACCATTCTCCCAAAGATGAGGGGCGTTCTGCCCTTAACATCTGTTCAACGTTAAAACACGAGAGATCACAAATGTTGTCCTTGTGATAATTATTGCCAGCAATAGTCAATCACATAAGAATAATTAATGAATAGCACAGTTATAAATCCCATAAGTTTTACTGGAAACATTCATGAATACCCACATGACCTTGTGGTGTGGTGGTACTTCAGCACTAGCATTTCTAACTTCTTACACTGCTCCAGACCAGCTCTATTTATGTGAAATTTGCATATTAAGCATGTGTTTCAAACTGAGGTTAATGCTATTCCTGACTTGGTTGATTTGGTTAGTGTATGTTTCTTGAGTTAGGCAATTTTCAAAAATAAAAGAAACAAGTGTTGATTCACACCAACACAACCTTCCAGAACAGTTTGTTATAGACAGACACAAGCAGTAAATATGGAAGAATTATTCAATGTAAAATTTCAGGCTGCTTCAAACTAGGACCAAACATCTCCACTCTCAAAGACAGTATTTGCATAAACATTTGCATTTTAGAGTTACAAACTACTGGTGATGCTAGAATTACCAAATCAGAAAACTGTATGTGTTCCAACATTTACAAATCACATTAGTTCAACACAGAAGAAGGTGATGTCATTTACACATACACAGCCAGAATTCTCAATGGAACCTGGTCATACATTTATCTATTCAAAAAGGGAAAGATATGGCAACACTGAAAAAAAATCCCTAAGATTTTACTAATTTCACTTATAGTAAGATGTTATTCCAATGGGTGTTTCTATCACAACTACAGCAGCTACAAATTATTCAAACAGCAAAAAATCCAGATGAAAGCAGAGGATACAAATCTGGATAGTATTTTCATAACAAATAAATAAGGAGTGAGTATTTTTGAAATCGATAACCTGTAACGTCGGAGGTGCATGTAGCCATATTACATATCTCATCACGTGCAACAAAGGGCACACAGCCAGAGCACACAGAAAGATCTGAAAAGTTCCTCAAAAGTTCAAATTCACCTGACCATCACAAGTTCAGTAAGTAAACAGGAAAATACTCCTTTTATATATATTGGACTCTTAGTTATCTTGTAGTTTGGGCTTTAGAAGGGCAAAATAATATTTAATAAACCTTTCTATGAATCGTGACATTCTGCGGTAACGACTTCCCAATTGCCTCAATATTGAACATAGTTTTAGCATTACTTTTAAATCCCCACTATTAGCAGGACTTTGAGGTTATTATGAAATTTATGGATTGCAGAATATAATTTTGAAAATTAGTGTTAAAAGTTCACAATGTTATAGGACCATCAAAAAACTACTACAGTTCAGGGTTTATGTAACTGAATTCTCCACCTCCTGAATAATTCACAACTTATTACAGATATTCTAGAATTTGATTCATACCGTTAATAGTTTCTGGATCTAGCTGACTATATTATGTTTGAACCGTAAAAATCGAAACAAGTCTCAAATAAGTCCAACAGTCCAGGTCAGCTATTATTTCATATCACCGTTTCAAAGAGGACAATCATCAGCTAATACATCTGTTTGTATTCAGGCGAAGCTTTTCTCACAAGTAGCTTTGCTATTCCATCAGATATTTTACATTAGTCAACTTGAGACTGCTTTTTTAACACCATTAAAGATGCTGTTGCAATCAATGCAAGAGGAATGGGACACTCTGTTTTAAAAAGGTAACACGAAGATACACAACAGTCTCTGAACTGGAGTTTTTTTTAAGATAAGTATCAAGACTTCCTTTACATGTGAACTGTACAATCAAAAATCAAATGTTATCATACAAAAGTGCAAAATTTGAGTGGAAACCCCAAAACTACTTTCAGGACAAACAAATTATTCTACAAAGCCAGGCAAACAGTAACTTTGCTGAAGAAGCTCACTAACCATGCAAATTAATCTGCCCCATTAGGACTCAGGCTCATTTTTAACTTGTGTTTCAGATGTTAATTAACATGCAAATAAATAGTGTTTTGAATGGTTGTGAACAATTTATTTTGCACCATTATACTGGGTACCTCAATTGCTGATTTACATAATTTTATGCATTGACCCACATTAGCACTTAAGCCTTGTAAAGTATGCTTTCATGTGTTCAGACAAGTTATGAAGCAAACACTGCAGTGAGATCCAATGGTTAGTGATAATGGACAGTGAGAAATAATCATTGCTTACACCAATTACAACTCTGTCCAGGATTTCAAATCTACTGCAGAGGTGAGGGCCGATCAACCATCCTCATCAAGCTCAGAAGCTGTGCGGGGAATTTTCAGCAGTTCTACAATGTTACCAACAGCACTTCAAAAGCTCCAGCACAAATGAAAAATGAGGTTCAGCAATAACAAGGCAAATAAAGAAAATCCATTCTAATCCACACTTAATAAGCATTTTTTGAAAGGGAATGGTTATCATGTTTCTTAAAAAGAGCTATAAACTTAAACACCAGCATTTTTTTTAAAGTTTCAGTGATATAAATAAATATTGTAACAGTCACATGGAAAGTCATTCATCACACACAGCCTCAGATACAAGTTGACTTTGGCTTGGACTAGGACTTTTGTTCGCTTGTTGTTAGCTGCTGTGATGGACTCTCTGGTTTCATGATCTGGTATGTAATGAGGTATTCCGGATACGCCTGGAGAAACATAGTGAAATATTAAATGTATTAAACTTAAGATATTACTTCTTCATCTTATTAAACTTTATATTGGTCAGCCGAGTGTCTGACACATGTGGAAAATCCATCACCATGCAAGAGTATCCAAACCAGGCAGAGTTCTACGAATGTTACCCACACATTGAAATTTTCCCTCATCTGGAATAGAATCACATTCTTTTCCTGGAAGGATGCAATCTGTTTACATAGTCCTGCACAGTACCAGAGTATTCAAATCAGGTTGGCAGAAGCCAAGGCTTGGGACCCCAGAGTGTATGTAAAGGTACTGCTGGAGTTTAATCAGCTAAAATTGTACAACTTTTCATTGAGAAGCTGTCTGGTATACTTCTTGCTTCATGTCTAGGAACACCCATTAGGACTTTGGCTTGCAGGGTTAACAGGAGCTGAGAGGGAAGAGTACTGCCCCAGTGGCTGGTCTGCCTCTCCAAGATCTGCCAATTAATCAGGCTGGCTGTTAATTTATTGTTAAGAGTACTGCAAACTTGGCTCAGCAACTGGACTACAGAGACTGCCATCGTCACTTCGAAGCCAGCTCAGAACCAAGGAACCCTACCCCCATCCCCGCCCATCCTAGAAAAATTATTTGAAATATTACACAGAAACTTGACATTTGAGACCTAAAACCACAACAAAAACAAATCTTTTGAGGATATGAATGAAGAAGCTGTTCCTGACTCTGATTAATCCATGACAACACCCTTCCTGTTTTAAATGTGCCTATTCATAAGATAGAAAGGATCTTCATAACAGGAAGATCACTCTTTCGTTAAGAACAATTTAAACTGGGATTAAGACAGCATCATTTTATTTGATTGGATTTGAGAATTTTAACTCGTATTGTTCCTTCAATTATGATCAGTGTTTGGTAAACAATTCATAATATTGCATAAATCTCATCATTCTAAACAGATGTATAATTCCAGTATATTTCAGTACCTGCTCTCCTCTATAGATGACATATTCTGCATAAGCAAGTCCATTTACACTTGGTCTCCCAATCACGGAATGATGTCCTGGTGGGGCATGAGCCATCTTCATTGCACTGAATTGTAGGAATGATTTTCCAAGTGTAACTCTACAGAACAGCATTTGTCTACAACAGAAATAAACATAACCCGTGTGAGCTAACTTTTTCAGTATTTTGTTAAAATAGATAAGGTTAAAAACATTTGCAAAAACATTATCTGGACAGTCACAATTTGATACATTTGATAAAGCGCTTCACATGTCAGGATGACATTTCAACGTGCTTCACAGGATCGCAAATATATAAAAGGTTAGTAAAGCATTGTGAGCATGTATTTTGCAGATGAACACTTACAGTCCATATGTCATGCTAATCTGGGTATAGAATATAAAAATACTTAAGATTCCTCCTATGCTAGAGATTGGGGCTACAGCATTGTGGTTCTTATTCCCTCTGCAGTACAGCCAGCACAAAACCCTCAGAAACCAGAGAAATTTAAAGAACGGAAGAGCAAACTATTGTGTCATAGCTAAACAAGAAATTGAGATACATAAGACATTTGATTCTATAACAATTGCCTACAAATAGTCCCTTCACATTATAATAAGATCCGCTGAAGTGCTCCAAGACATCTTGATAATGTAACAAAACATGAGCTGAAGGCACTTTATCGTATGCAACAATTATTATAAAGATTATGATAAAATGCACAAGCAGTATGACGGATGGTAAAAGCTCTGCAAACAATGTTTTCCTCAGAAAATTCTCCATGTGGCAAACAGACTCATGACACTATCTCTGATTAGGGCAAACTATGAAGTCTTGCGAGTTTATACGTAGTACAAGAAATTCCCTGGAGAAAACCCTGTTTACTTTCCAGGTGTTTTTGCTGGTAGCCACACAGCAATGATGAAGCTAGGGTACTTTGAAACCATTGCTTAATATTTAAAGAAAAACTCACAACCGGGCAGATGGAGTAATTTAATATTTGAAACTTATGTCTAATTTACATGCTGCTTTCCTTATGCTAGGGATTGTTGGATGAATTTACCCGAAGCATTTGTTTATTATTATTTTTTATTTGTTATTATCATTTATTATCATTATTATTTGTGTGGCCTGCTTGCACTCTCCGCTTCAGCTAATAACTCTGTCCAGTATCTGTACTTTGTTTCCAGTCAGAAATAGAAAAAGATCAGGAGAATGATTGTTTTTTCTTATTCCTAGCTTGGAAGTCCTGGACAGTTTAGCAGCCACAACACTGCCCTGAAATGCTGATGACAGAGTTTTGGATAAGTTGGGAGTTTATCAATGGTGGAGCTAAGAGCAGCGAGGAGCTCATCTAAAGCTCCAAGCGGGGGGGGTCAACAAAGGTGTGGGTAATGGTTCTAGCAGCATGTGGAGTGAAACAGGGTCAGAGATGGACAATGAGGTAGAGGTGAAGAAAATCAGTCTTGTAAGGGACTGGATGTGAGGGAGGAGAGCTGAGGAATCAAACCAGACTGTGCACTGGTTAGATGAATTTGAGAAAGAAGTCAGTTGTAACATCTATTGTAATTGGTTTATCTGTTAATGTCAAACTTTTATTTGCACGAAACAATACAAAGCTTCTAAAGGAAGCTTTTTGCTTACCTGTGACATATGTAGCAAGACCTGTCCTTGTGTGTTGGGCAGCCAGTACCTCCGCCTATGCCATACACATACTGATTACTTTTCGAGGAATTTTCTGCAAAGTAAATTCCTGCACCAAACATCCCACCGATATATGCGTGTCTTTCATCAAATCCTTTATAAATAATAGCATTGATGAATGGAGAACCTAAAAAAGACACAAAATGTTAGTTTAAGAGAATAAAGGGGAATTAGCCCCATTTACCCATTAAATTTTAAAGTCTTCTAATTCCAAAAGCAAACTTGTGGGAACAATTAATCGGTCGCTTTGAAAATATTATACAAGTAGAATATACTCACATAGACCTCCTACAAAGAATCATAGCATTATACAGCACAGAAGGATGCCAATCGGCCCATCATGTCTGTGCTGGACATGATGCTGGTCACAGAAATTACATGCAGGTGGAGTCCTACAGCTCAGTGGTTAGAGCACTCACTTTGCAAGCGAGAGACCTGAGTTCAATTCCAGGCACAGGGCGAAACCTTGGGCAAGTTTCCTTACTCCACACGCCTAATAATAATCCCTCCAAAACCAAAACCAATAATAAATTGGTCATTTTCAATCTACGACTGTTTGTGGGACATTGCTGTGCGCAATTGGCTGCCGCGTTCGCCCACAAATATATACAGTCAATTCACTTTACAGTGTGTTCTGTGAAGCGCTTTGTGACATCCTCCCGACGTGAAAAGCGCTATATCAAATGCAAGGATTATTATTATTATTATATAAACCATAGAACACTGGTTGCATTATAATCACATTACTCACATTTTATATTGCGCCTTTTATGTCAGAAGGATGTCTCAAACCACTTAACAGGATTTATTGTAAAGTGCAGTGAGTGTGTATTTTGCAAGGAAAAGTAGCAGGCAATTTGCACACAGCAATGTTTCACAAACAGACATGAAGTAAGTGACCAATTTTAACATAACATGTAGGAGCAGGAGTAGGCCATACGGCCCTTCGAGCCTGCCCCGCCATTCAATCATGGATGATCTTCTAATCTAACTCCAGCTAATAACCTGACCCTGCCTTATCCCCATATCCCTTAATTCCTTTTTGCAATAAGAAATCTATCTATCTCAGTCTTGAATATGTTCAAGGACTGAGCGTCAACAGCCCTTTGGGGTAGTGAGTTCCATACATTCACCACCCTTTGAGTGAAGAAGTTCTTCCTCAACTCAGTGTGAAAGGGCTGGCCTCTGATTTTAAGGTTGTGACCCCTGGTTTTAGTTTCTCCAACCAGGGGAAACAATCTCCCACTCTCTACTCTATCATGCCCTTTGATGATCTTATAGGTTTCTATAAGATCCCCTCTAATTCTTCTATATTCTAGAGAATATAGGCTCAAATTGGTCAGCCTATCCTCGTAACTCATCCCCTTCATCCCTGGTACTAACCTAGTAAATCTACGCTGCACCCCCTCCAAGGCAAGTACATCCTTCCTTAAATAAGGAGACCAAAATTGTACAGTATTCCAGGTGTGGTCTCACCAGGGCCCTATACAGTTGCAGCAAGACTTCCTTACTCTTATACTCTAATCCTTTCATAATGAATGCTAACATACCGTTCGCCTTCCTAATTGCTGCTGCACTGCAGACTAACTTTCTGTGATTGGTGTCCAAAGACACCCAAGTCCCTCTGGACGCTAACACATTCCAGTCTCTCCCCTTCTAAAAAATAACCCGCTCTACTGTTTTTGCTACCTAGGTGGATGACTTCGCACTTCCCTACATTATACTTCATCTGCCACCTACCTGCCCAATCACCTAACCTATCTATGTCTCGCTGCATTTTGTTAATGTCATCCTCTGTGTTGACACTTCCTCCTAGTTTTGTGTCATCCGCAAATTTAGATATATTAACTTCGATGTCCTCATCAAGATCATTGATGTAGATGGTAAATAGCTGAGGCCCAAGGACTGATCCTTGTGGCACTCCACTAGTCACATACCTCCAATCTAAAAAGGACCCATTTATCCCTACTCTTTGTTTCCTACCCGTTAACCATTCCCCAATCCACGTTAATATGCTCCCCCCAATTCCATGGGCCCTTATCTTTTGGACTAACCTTTTATGCGGCACCTTATCGAATGCCTTCTGGAAGTCCAAATAGACCACCTCCACTGATTCATCCTTATCTAGTTTACTCGAAATATCCTCAAAAAACTCTATGAGATTTGTCAAACATGACTTCCCTTTTGTAAAGCCATGTTGACTTGGCCTAATTATATTGTGCTCCCCTAAATACCGCACTATCACATCCTTAATCAATAATTCTAAATTTTTTCCTATCACTGATGTGAGACTAACTGGCCTATAGTTTCCCATTTTTTCTTTTCCACCTTTTTTAAATAGTGGTGTGACATTTGCGATCTTCCAATCCATGGGGACTGTTCCAAAATCCAAGGAATTTTGGAAGATCAGACATAAGGCCTCCACTACCTTATAAGCTACCTCTTTTAAAACCCTGGGATGCAAGCCATCTGGACCAGGGGATTTGTCACTTTTTAGCGCGAACAACAACAACAACAACATTCCATTTATTGAGCGCCTTTCACGTCGGGAGGACGTCCCAAGGCGCTGTACAGTTGGGTCAGGACCCGAGCATTGGGGGGAAATGGTGAGGGGAGGGAAGGGAGTGAGGAGGGGGTAGAGAGTCGAGAGGGGAGCTGAAGGCACGGTCAAAGATAGAACAGTTTCCCTAGCACCAATTCTCTACTGATGAAAATTTCCCTAAGTTGTTCCCTGTCCTTATTCCCCTTGGTGCATCTCTATTGTTGGCAGACTTGTTGTGTCTTTTAGGGTGAAGACAGATGCAAAGTACCCATTTAGGGACTCTGCCATGTCCTTATCCCTCATTACAACTTCTCCCGTCTCTGACTGAATTTTATATGAGGGACTGTTGTCCTGGCTAATAGGAGAAACTCCATTCTCTTTTGAGTAATGCCATAGGATCTTTAATGTCCACCTGAACAGCCAGAAGCACCTTGGCTTAACATTTCAGCCGAAACATGGCACCTCTATCAATTCAGTACACCCCCAGCACTGCACTGCGAGTTCAAAATCCTGAACTGGGGCTTGAACCCACAACCTTCTAGACCTAAAAGCGAGATTGCTACCATTTGCCAGGCTATCACCCATAGAGTAGCAAGACATGAGCAAAAAATAACCTGTTGTATGTGCGGGTGTGTGCAGTTGCAGGCAACAACTTGATTCAGAGACACGAGGCACACAAAGACAGATAGCGAAACTCACACAAACAGACAGCGAGACACATACACATATAGATAGAATGACACACACACAGATAATAACAATAGTAATCCTTGCATTTGTTATAGCGCCTCATCATCCAGGCAGTTCACAGGATTTACTGTCAAATGGTGTAACTGTCTATTTTGTGGAGGAATACAGGAGTCAATTTGCATACAGCAATGTCCCACAAACAGCCACAGAGTGAGTGACTAATTTTATCTGGAGGATACCCAGGAGAAACTCCCTTCTCTTTTTGTGACAGTACAACTTCTGTTGGTATAATTTTTTTTGGTTAGCGCTGCAATCAATTTGTATCGGCCATTTCAATTTAAAGCAGATAATTGGCTCTCTATTGTATATACATTAAGATTCAAATTACTCAAGCAGCTAAGTTCTACAGAGTTTAAATGGGTTTTGAATCCCAAAGTTGAATTTATTCAAACTAACTCAATTATAAGAATCTGTTGATTCCTTAATCATAGTGCTAGGTGACAATGTGACAAACCCCTCAAGGACAAAGGTAAGGAGGATTCCATTTAGTTTGTTTTTATCTTCCTGCCGCTGAAGCACTATTAACTTTGCAGCAGTCAACCTCTGTAAGAGAATATAAGGCAGAGGGCAAACGACAAATGTAAAACATGAAAAGAAGAGTAAACAGCTCCTAATAGTAGAAACAAATCAACAATAAAATAAATCACATTTAAGAGTTGTGCAGAAATTTTTGTAGCTTTTTATTAACACTATGCATTGATTTTGCATGATGACCTGATAGCTGCACTGTTTATATATCCACAATGGGATCAATCACCCACAAAATATACAGTCAATTCACTTTTCACTGAAGCTCTTTGAGATAATAATAATAATAATAATAATAATAATCCTTGCATTTGATATAGCGCTTTTCACGTCGGGAGGACGTCCCAAAGCGCTTCACAGAACACACTGTAAAGTGAATTGACTGTATATTTGTGGGCGAACGCGGCAGCCAATTGCGCACAGCAATGTCCCACAAACAGTCGTAGATTGAAAATGACCAATTTAATTATTGTTTTGGTTTTTTGGAGGGATTATTATTAGGCGTGTGGAGTAAGGAAACTTGCCCAAGGTTTCGCCCTGCCTGGAATTGAACTCAGGTCTCTCACTTGCAAAGTGAGTGCTCTAACCACTGAGCTACAGGACTCCAGACTCCAGACTTGAGATGTCTCAAAGATGTGATAAGGTGCTATATCAAAACCAAGTATTATTATGTCAGGCTTTCTACTACAGTTCAGTAAAGGAAATAGCAATAGAGGTCTGCAGTTTAGTGAAGGTACAAGTCAGAATCCAGACTATTTTTTTCAAACAACTTCAATTGGCTCACCATGAAACAGCATCCGCTCATTGTGGTGATTATGATTTTCTTCTGCTACCTCTTTTTGTCGATGAATAAATCGCTCCCGAAGTTTCTTGTTCACTACTTTTTGAATCTGAAAAAGTTTAAAAGAATTCAGCAAAAAACAATGGTGTAAATAAAACCGCTCAGTTTGTTAAAACTAAAGCAAGGGCTGCCTTACCGCTACTGTGGTGACGGTAGATTTGTAATTCTTTTGTTTGAAGTTAGTTTGAGAAATGGGCATAAACAAAAATGCTAATGGAGCTTATATAAAATTTAAAATTCAGAAAATGCTCAAATAATACGTAACATATGGTATTTCTCAATCGTTGAAGTATCACCTCTACACAATAGGATATCGGCCCTAACCCACTGAATTAAATTTATTTAGCAACACATCAAGAAGTTCACTCCTTAACAAAATGCATTCCTCCCTCACTATACAAATAGTCTCACTTGGAGGCTCTCCTTCACACAAATCCCATTTTATAATAATAATAATCCTTGCACTTGATGTAGCGCTTTTCATATCTTCTTGACTTCTCAAAGTGCTTCACAGGATAGAATGTAAAGTGAATTGACCGTATATTTGTGGGCGAAACGCGGCAGCCAATTGCACACAGCAGTGTCCCACAAACAGTCGTGGATTGAAAATGACCAATTTTATTATTGTTTTGTTTTGGAGGGATTATTATCAGGCGTGTGGAGTAAGGAAACTTGCCCAAGGTTTCGCCCTCTGCCTGGAATTGAACTCAGGTGTCTTGCTTGCAAAGCGAGTGCTCTAACCACTGAGCTACAGGACTCCATATCTTATATATCAAGCAATAAGGCAGGGTTAGTTGGTAATATTCTCACTTCTGGAATACTTCCAAATCCTACTTGAGCCAGCAGGGTGGGCTATCATCAGTAGTGCCTTGGATTATTGAACATCCACTTGGCTCAGGAACCAGACTACCAAGACCACCAGAGGGTTAACTCAATTTTGACATTCCGTTGCCAAACTTGTCACTTTAGTGCCTCCAGGTGCTGGATTATTATTTAGAGCGAGTTCGGACCCCGCTATGATTAACTTCATTATATACTAATCGCTCTTTATTTGTATTTTCCATTTACAAGGAATATAATTTTTTCTCCTTTAAAGTTTAATATTAAAATGCACAAATACATTAAATATTTACCTTAATAATGTTGTATCTATTGAAAACACCACCAGCAGTCCCACCATCTCTGTGCTCACGGATTGTACTCTGCAACTAAAGTAACACATCATTAGCATCCATTTTTCAATAATAGCACATAACCTGTTCGCACAATAGAGCACAACTACAAAATGTGCTATGGTATTGCTGAGGATAACAGAGTAGCATGTCATGGACCACTAACATTACACCTGTAACACACTGCCTCATGCTACAAGGAACCAGTAAAAAAAAATCGTATTCATTATTTTAAAAACACTGAAGGGGGGCATCAATTGGCTTCATTCAGACTACTAATGTAAATGGTCAGTCTCTGAAATTCCCTTCTCCATAAGATGTGAACCAGACTAGTGTCGTTACAGTATTTTGACTGTGTTCAAAAACAATATCAAGTCTTGGGATTCACCTCCCTTCCCATGAATTGAATAGCTTTTTGATGTTCATAAGCTTCGCCTTTGAAGGACAAAGGTCTCCTGAATTTGAATGATTTGTTGAGATCAAAGTATGAGTAGAAACTGCAGGTGTAAAACCTATGTCCTGGAAACTCGTAATTGGTGATGGAACAAGACAGCTGGAGCCACACAAGCAGGAAGTCTGCAGAGCAGGAGCAAAGCTGTGATGATGCTTATTTTGATGATGCTATTTGCTATACTGGTTGAAAGCTTACACCTCCCCGACGGTGGATTAGGTGGGGTCACAAAGTCAGTGTTTTATGAGAGTTGGTTCTTCAGTTGAAGTTAGTTCCTTGTGGTTCCTTGTGTAACCAGTGCCTCCAGGTGCTGGAGTTGTAATTTACCTTGGGGTTATCGCTACTGAATAGTGTTGAAGTAACATTGAGATTTTCTTTTTAGAAAAATTAGATTTCAATTTGGTCTGGATTAGATTCAGCAGTCCAGACTGGATTCAGAGCATTTTAAAAGATTTTGAGGATAGAAAATTTGGGTCAGGTTAGGCTTAGTTTGGAGTGTTAAGGAATGTGGGTCATCTTAGCTGTAATTTGGGGAGTTTAACCGTTTAGCATTAGCTTTTGGGTCTCAGCTTGTGTTTAACAGGGATGGCACTTAACATAAGGAGGCTCTTGTCACATTTTATGAATTTAGTATTTTCCAGGTTAATATTAAAGGCCATACTGTAGGGTTCAGGAGTTCACAAGCTGCTTCTTAGGGTGCAGAGACCAATTTTGGTGTCCAATCTAATCTCTGCAGTGGTCTGGGTAGTTCAGTCTCTGAGTCAAGCGGGTCCGCAGTACTCTCGGGCACTGCTGATGACAGTCTGGCTCATTGGCAGGACTTCAAAGGGCAGATCAGGAACTGGGGCTAGGACACTTCGCACTCAGCTCCCATTAACCCTGTAAACCAAAGTCCTAACAGGATGGGGTGGTCCTACCTAGACAAGCAGCGGTAAAGTTTGCCAGGCAGTGCTGTGAATGGCAAGCATTGTGCTTTTAACTGGTTGGACTCCAGCAGTATCCCAACACATACTGTGCGGTCCCCAAGCTTTAGCTCCTGCCAACATGTGCCTAATACTTTCCAGAATTAGGAAAACAGGATGCATCCCTTCAGGGAGAGTGTGTATTCCATTCCAATAAACTTCTCTGGAAATTCCTTGTGTAGGTGGGATGCATGGAACTGTTTGGTTTGGATACTCTTAAAAATGGTGATGGGTTTCTGCATGTGACAGACACTCGGCTGACCAAAAAAAAATTATATTCTGTGATGTTGTGTAAATAGTCTCTTTAGTTATTTATTAATCTATTATAATTAGCAAACAAAAATGATATTTTTGGCTCCTCAGTATGAGCCTGCAAAACAAAATGCTGGTTTACAAATTGTTCAGTCCAGGCCTGTCTGGACGTTTGTATCTCTGGGAACAATACATGCTGCACAAGCTCAAGAGGAGCAACAATTGATGCAGCTATAAGTGGTAGCCCCTTGAAGTAAGCCGGCTATAGAGGGAATTCAATAGACCTGTAGCCAAACAAATACACAATAATGAACATTAATATGTATCAACAACAACAACAAATTACATTTGCATAGTGCCTTTCACATCAGGAAGACCTTTTTTGCTGCTTAATATTTCTGGCTCAATAGCTAGATTTGATGAGAGCAAGTCTAACACTTTAATCATAGACTGCTATGGTCAACTCCAGAGCCATGTTTTACATTTTCAGTTAATGCACTGACACTGAGACAAACTAATATTAGTCATAGAACGACATGGCTTTAAAAGTAGCTTTATTATTGTAATGCTAACCCTACTATCCTCGATTACAAACAAAAGCAATAAAAAAAAACTGAACTTGTTGTTTTCATCAAAAATATAATTTATTCCCATTTTTCTCCTGTGGCTCCCTAGTCAATTTTGACTGTGGGAACAATACAACTGGCCTTCAGAGCTGACGTACACATCAGAACTCACTTTTCCAGATAAATGAAGGAGAGAGCTCTGTAGACTATTTTTCAGCATCAAAACTGCCAAAGTTATCTTGTCCACAGGGCCAGCAATCCAAATAGACATCAATGTGCATTGTGTCCAGACAGTGATTGGCCCAAGGTATCCCAATAATGATAAATCATTGCTCATTGCAGATGCACGCAGAGGACATAATAAACACAGACTTTACAAGATATGAGCTTTTTTTTTAAATGCACTTGTTTAACTGAAGACCTGTAAAAGAACACAATTAACTCATCTGAAGTACCTCCTCTTCCACAGATTGATACTCCTTGTCATCCAGTGAGAGGTCAATCAGAATGGTTCCTTGGCTGGCACAATGAAAGGTCAAGTAAGGATTTGTACCTAAGAGGGCGAGATTTATCGGATTGAAATTTAATTTCCATTTTGACTGGATAAGTAGGCAGGATTAAAAGCATGACGCTACTCACACAGTATATTTTATTCTATAATAGATATCAGCTAATTAAGTCATAATAAGCATTTGAAACAACTCCTTATCAACTGCAATGATTATTATTATTATAATGCTGCACCTAGAGTACTTGCCACTGTGAAATAAGTGAGCTGCCCAAGCCCTAGAGGCAGTGCCAAGTACAGCAACGAGGATGATCCCCAGTGTTAGAGGAATGAGCTATTAGCAATTTTTAGACAAGCCAGTCTTAAGAGAAGATGACTCAGAGAGGACCATAAGAAACCTCGTTGTATATTTGTTCAATGGGATTGAAAAAGTAAATCCCGATCAATACTTTAGGATGTAACATGACACTAAAAGAAAAGGTTTAGAGCTGTAAAGAGAAATTTCAGGATAGATACTAGGAAGTTTTTCTTTACTCTGAGGGCAATTCATGACTTGGAAGATGTTGCCAGGAAAGGTGGTCGAGATCAGGACATTGGAATACTTTTAAAAAGCAGTTTGATGTTGTAATGGGAGAACGTTAGGATAGGTATTCTCGAGTGACGAGTTCAGATGGGCCAAAGGGCCTGCTTCATCCAAACCAAAATTGTGATCTTGCGGTTGTCCCATAAATTGATTGATTAAACTGGGAGATTTTTGGTCAGGATACTGAGAGAAACTTTCTTCCCTTGGCAAATAGTGCCAAGAAATCTTCAACATCCACCTAACCTTAACTTAATCTCATCCAAAGGATGGCATCTCTGACAATATACTGCTCTCTTCGACTGTGCCTTCAGCTTCCCTCTCGACTCTCTACCCCCTCCTCGCTTCCTCCCTTCCTTCCCCTCCCTCCCCTCACCCTGACCATTTCCCTCCTGCTCGGGTCCCGACCCAACTGTCCAGCGCCTTGGGACGTCCTCCCGACGTGAAAGGCGCTCTATAAATGAAATCTTGTTGTCTTGTTGTTGAGTGAACTGGAATATCAACTGAGGCTTTGTGTTCAAAGTTCCAATGTGGAGCATGAACTCAAAGCATTCTGACTAAGAAGTGGGAGTCCCGCAATCTGAGCCATGTTGTTACCCTCAGGATACATATTTAAATACAGAATAACTGGCAGGAAGAGTGATTACCTTGCTGTCCTCCTAGTAGTCGTTCAACACCCTTGATTAATTTATGACGATGCCCATAAGCATTTATTCCAATTTCTTTCAACTCTTCATGACCCATGTCTGCCAGCACATCCAAAGTAATCTGTAAATGTTATCAAAGTCGGTAAATTCAAGAAAGCCAAAACATATCCAGTTTCTTAAAATCTATAATCAGAGAATTTTAATTTTCACTCACCTGCTCCCTTTCAAAGATATCTCGCAGGTGTTCCAAGCCCAGACTTTTAAGGAATTGATTAATGTTCATGTCAAGTGTGGTTACTAGAAGGAAACATATTTTTTCATATTTTTCCAATATCAATATATAAACATAAAATGTACTCCACATTGTACTCTACATATTCCACAATGTGATGCATTCAAAGTTCACTTCCTATGCACGTAGGAAGTGAATTTGGTAACATTTCGATGGTCCAAAAGTTACAATTTTTTCACCCCTTTCATGCAACACGGCTGCTGAAACATTGGATCCAGCCAATGTTAACTACAATGAGGTTTCCCCTTATTAAGTATGTTCTTAGAATAACAGAAACCTCAATACAGAATTGTAATGTATTTCACATCCTAATGTTTCTGATCTCACACTTTTATCTGCCAACACCCCAAACCTGTCTATGCTATTTAAACCAACTATATTCAGCGTAACCAAACCACAATTTCTGAGATTCCAACTGGGGACAAACAAAATTCAAATCTTAAATTGACAAAGGGAAGTTGATTGTTGAAAGAATATTACCTTATAGTAAGCTATAAAGTAGCCTGTTGATGTACTTCACCAAAACATGTTGCACAAGGTCAAGATCATCAAGCGCACTCTTGGAATCAATCACAAGACTATTTTAAGAGACCTTCCACATAACTTATCATGCTTGTTTCGATTAGCCTACCTTCCCCTTCTTTTCTCTCAGTGCCAGTTGCCCCATCAGCTGCACTTGAGGCACCACCAACAGCTAACTCTGTGAGTGGCCCCGTCAGGTTATCTATACTGCTCGCAGCTGACAAACAGGATGGTGTTGAAGCAGGAGAGATCACAGCTGCGCTAACAACAGTTGCCTGGGGTTTATAGCAAGTAGGAAGAGCTTCTGGTGGCATAGCATCAATTAACAAGGCCCTGATATCATCAGCCTGAAATCAAGAAAAAAACGAATCACTTATAAAATTATACAATTAAGTTTTGTGCTATTTTCATTAAATCAATTTTTATGAAGCATTGTAAATTTCTACAAACATCGTTAAATGCTTACATTTATTTCGCTTCAGTTACACATTATCAATAATATATTCAAACAAATTTTAACTGTAGAATGGGATTTTTCTCAGAAATTGGATTAAAATTTTAGAAAGTGAATCTTACAGTAGCCAAATCTAAAGGAGTTTGGGCTTCCTGATTCTTCATAGTAGGATCTGCTCCATGGGCCAGCAGCAGTGCACAGAGCTGGGTCCTTCCCTTTTGTGCTGCTTCATGCAATGGAGTGAAGGCCCATTTATCAGTAGCATTCACACAAGTGTTATACTTAATAAGAAGTGCTGCGATATCCACATGCTGAAAAAACAGAAAAGCCACGTTAAATACAGTTACATTAGTGATGGTAATGATCAAATCAATATCAAAGATTCATTATATTTCTACCAGTTCTGCAAAAACAAGGAACGATGATATCAATGGTGCGAGAACTGAATAAGAGAACTGAATTTGGCCCAGCAAACAATAAAAAGGTTGTCCTAAGATGATCTAACACATCTGACAACCCAGAATGCAGATTTTTCGCATTTATATTTCAGTACAATCCCACTTCAGTTAAGTCGCTAATTATAATCCCACACTGAAAGTTGGTCAAATGTTTCATCTTACCCCATAGGAAGCTGCATTATGAAGAGGAATAAGGCCTCCTTTGTCCTGTGCATTAACATCTGCACCATGCTCCAGAAGATAGTCAGCCACTTCAAGGTTATTATAGCCAGCTATTTGAGCAAAATATTTTAATTCAAAAAGATACAGTATGTACATTTTTCAGCTAGTTTTGGCATCTTTACCATTTTTATGCATTTCACAGAATTTTATTTCCTAAACTTCTAGAAATGTTTCTATTGAGTTTTAAATTCCTGACTTAGAAACATATGTGTTGATGGTAGACTACCACTTTTGCTAAAATTAGTTTCTAACCAGTTAAGCAACTATTTAACCCTGCCATGTTCACTGTGGCAAACCTCACCAGCTATCCTGAAGCAACTACCTTGCTGCCCCATTTCTCTCTCACACTGCACAACTTGCCCTCTGCTTCACAGGAGCAAACTACCTCATCTAAATCACCCTGCCTCGCTCTCCACCTGCCACTGTCCCATCTACACATATCGCTCTACAAAATGTCTGCTCCCTCTGAAAGAAAACTCTCCCAATCCACAACCGCATCCTGAGTAAACACATCAACCTCTGGACTCACTGAAACCTGGCTGTTTCCAGTTGAGCCCTCAGCCTCATCAAGGCCTCCCTGTCTGGGAACATTTTCTTTGATTCTCTCTGGTGGTGCAACTTCTCTAATCTCTTTAACCTCTCAGTTTATCCCCTTATTCCTTCAGCTCTTTCCCTTTCTTCAAGCATCACATCTTGCATCACCATTCTCTACTTCAAGATCTTGTTAATTTATTATCGCCCAAACCACCCATCTCCTTCTTCATGACATCGTCTTCACTTTTCACTGAGTGCCTTCTCATCATAAGCAACTTCAACCTCCAACATAACTCCCTCCAGCCCTTTCCTTGTTTCTCAACTCTCCTCTCCCAACCTTGTTCTCCATATAGACTTGCCCAACCACAATTGCTCACCTGCTAGATGGAGAGGTGTTGAGTTCCTTCCTTGAGTATCTCTACAATTAATATTCTCTGGGGTACATAACTTCTGGACTCTCGCTAAACAGCCTTTCTTAGCAGCATCCAGTAGAGCTGCATCTCCACGCAGCAAGTCCTGGATGTCTGTGTCCCCTTCTTTCACAAGATCCAAAGGTGTGTTCCCATCTCGGTTCTTCTTGGTTGGGTCAGCTCCATGCTATGGTAGGTGAAGACTATTATTTAGTTTCTTATTTAAGACTATAATAAAAGCATATTATTCATGTAGAACAACTTTGTTTTACATAACACTGCACTAATAATTTACACTAGTCTCTCAAATTACGAAATGCATATTGCAAAACAAAAAAACATAAAATTATGTTTGACGAGTAAATCTCATAAATGAACTGAAAGCTGAAATTTTGTTGACTTATGTTTTAAGCAAATATATTTTATGGTATAATTTCATGCCAGTCTAAGGAATCTACTTAGTGAGCATGACGTGACCAAGTCTGTATTGTAACGGCAGCATAAAAACATTTGCCTTTATTTTATCTTTCTTTAAATAAAAATCTTTAGTTGTTTAGTGCATTGATAGTCATACTTTAGGTACCAATGACATTGTTGTTATGTGCAAATGATTGTCTTTTTTTAAAAAAAGCTAAATTCTGCTCATTTTCTTTGTACTGTCCAGATTATATAAAATAGTACAGGTTTCAAGTGAAAAGGAGTGTAAATGCAAGTCTCGATACAAACTGCATAGACACATCTATGCTGAATCAGTTGGTTCTCATAGAAAGTTCAGTATATTGATTACTTTCCTCGGTAGTGGAGATAGTCGATTGGTATTTCTGACTGGAAGCAGCATCATTTATCCGATGCTAACTATCAATAGAAGCAATATGATGCAATATATAATTTTGGCTTCTGATTTTTGATTTTAACAGATAAAAAAAATTAAACACCCCGATGCAACAAAACAAAATTGATGTTTATCCAATAAACCACCATAATTGCTTACCTGTCGTAACACCAGCTGCACATGTGTTACTCTTGCTGTCTGCTTCCCCCTCTCCCTTCCATGTGCGCAAGTGAATCGTGATGTGTTTGTGAGAGGAGGGAGGCACTGCACGTGAGTGAGGATGCCTCTCTCCCCTCCCTGTGCGCAAGCGATTCTGAATCTTCTCATTACAACAAAGTGAAAGCCCCGAAAACCTCAAAATTTTTAGAACTCAAAAACTGCTAAAAATTCAATCCCGAAAATTAAATGTTTAACCCCCAAAAAACAGAAGCCTTAGATGTAATGCACTGGATACTTATATAAACATTTCATGAGTGTATACAAGTAGATCAGATTGAACATCACATACCTTTAAAAGTAATTTGCATATTTCATATTTGCCTTTGGCTGCTGCTTCGTGAAGTGGAGTGAACTTCCACAGGTCAGCCACATTTACTGAGGCACCATGTCTCACCAACAGTTCTGCCACTTCATAATGTCCATACGAGCAAGCATTATGCAAGGGCACCAAGCCTCTGAGAAGAAAAAAAGGTTCAAATAATATCTACTCTATTACCATTAAAATTCAAAATACAGTAGCTAAATTGCTAAGATGCAAAGCTCAAATAATTTCCATGGAATAAAAAAGTTGTATAAGGCCTTCCTCAATTTTGAATGATCATGTACTTGCCTGTGGTCCCCTATTGTACCCTCTGACGTATTCCATGGGTAATTCTGTTAATTTGCTTTGTTTAAAACAAAAACAAAAAAAGGGTTTTGGTTATCTTAAAACAGCACTGTTGCCCCAGAGTTGAAGGTTGTGGGTTCAAACCCATGTCGGGACCTGGAATCAGAGAGTTTAAGCTGACACTGCTAAGGATGTGTTTCATTGCTGGAGATGTCGTCCTTTAGATGAAACATTATCCGAAGTCCCATCTGCCTGTTGAGGTGGATGTTAAAGATCCCATGGCACTATTTGAAAAGAGATGGGAGTTTCTTCCGGTTTCCTAGCCAACTCAAAATACAGTAACTGCAATGTTGTTGGATGTAAAGCTCAGACAAAGATTTCCATGAATTAAAAAAAAAGTATTTTATGGCCTTCCTCATTTTTGAATGATCATGAATTTGACTGCGTTTTGTTTAAAACAAAAACATTTTTTAATACAGTGACATGCATTTATATACTGTCCTTTGTGTAAGATAACATCTTGGGAGTGTTTACAAGGCCAGGGTGAATATCGAGCAGGGAAGAGGATGAGGTGGGAAGGAGTAGGTTCACTGACAAGATACATTTTAAGGTGGCATTTAAAGGAGGGGGAGATGGAAGGGTACAAGAAGGGAGTTCAAAGCTTAGGGGTATATTAGATGAAAGCTCAGTCACCAATGAGGTGTTTCAAAGTGGAACACCTCAATTACCACCTGATTCAAACCAGCCGATTAGACTCACCTCCACAAGCACAAGATACATCAGGCACCCTGGCTCTCCTCACAACTATTCATTCGCTCTTGCTCTCCATACAAACTTAACTTCTAAACTCAACTATTAAGCACCTGTTTCAAGCTCCAACTTTCAGCAGAATCAATTCCAACACTCTGCTTTTGTTACATATATTATACATATATATATATATATTTTAAGACCTTCCTCAGTATATATATATATAGATGTGTGTGTATATATAGATTATGTATATATAAAGCTTCGCAGTTGGGAGGATAAAGTGTATTGACAAAGAGGTGCCAATGGAGTGCATTAAAGAAACACTGCGAGGAGAATGTCATAGGCGAGGAATATTTCAGTGAGAAGGGGGTCTGTGCAACAATCACATAATTCAGTTCAAATTGAGCTTGAAAAAAGCATAGGGGGTCGATCCCTAAAGAAGGTACTTGTTTACTTATCTACAAGCTGACTAAAAGTCAGGATTAGTACTGCTTGAAGTGAAAAAAAATAAAGAACTATATTGACTTGTTTTATATTACAATCATCACATTAGCAAATTCTACATTCAAAACCTGCAAAAGGTAAGTATTCTGAAAGACGTTCACAATCCAGTCTGTGGTCAAATTTGGAGGGGGATCTGAAACAGGTGTCAGTCTTGATGCATATCAACATGCAAGTCAGAGGGGATTGTAATACAAATTCAATGTTCTCCAAGAACAACAATTGATAGTTATTTACCACCTTACATGTTACGAGCAAAATTGGGTATTAAAAAAAATTGAAAGATTAGTCTTAGCTGGAAACTGGTTAAGCATCTGAATTAAACTGGATGACTGTTCTACATTTTAGTAAATAAGCCCTTTCAAATAATCATTTTTCTCATAAGTGTGGGGGATGGGGATGATCAAAAAGAGTGGAATCCCCTGTAGTTACTTAGAACAGATTGTAGAATGGTGCTATTTTGCCCTCTGGAAATGGGTAGCAAGGAGTAAAAATATTGAAAGTACAAGTTGCCACACTTGCAGATGTATACATACCCCTTGTCTTTGGCATGCACATCAGCTCCATGATGGAGTAGATACTCTACCACAGCCACTCGATTGTAACCTGCAGCAAAGTGCAGTGGGGTAGAGTGACGTCCTTCCAAGTCTCTGCAATTCACATTTTGTGTTGTGCACAATTGCTTGAAAGAAAAATGTATAATTAAATTAACAAAGGTCACTATTATTTTCCCAAAGCTTATTACATTGGATCTGAATTTTTTTTGGTCAGCCAGGTGTCTAACACATGCGGAAACCCATCACCATGCTATCCAAACCAAACTAAGAAGTTTCCATTCCAGAAATAAAGCATTTACACAGTACCTTTTCACATATGAAGGAAGCCTCAAAGAGCTTGATACTGCTGGCTGGGCACATGAGCTGGGGGTGGGAGCTGAGAGGTGGGGTGGGGAAGGGAAAAGTGATTGAGAGCACAGTCAAAAATTAAGTCTTGATGTGCCTTGAAAGAGGGGAGGACCAGGTTGGAGGGACTCCAGGATTGGAGCTCCAGAAAGTGGGGACAAAATAGTGATGGTGGGGCAGATAATAATAATCCTTGCATTTGATATAGTGCCTGATCACGTCTTCCAAATGTCTCAAAGCGCTTCACAGAATGCACTGTAAACTCAATTCATTGTATATTTTGTGGGCAAAACACAGCAGCCAATTGTGCACATCAGTGTTCCACAAACAGTTAAAATTGAGTGACTAAATTATTCTTTTTTTTAATAAAGGAATTATTATCTATAGAAGAGCGATTGATCAATCGAATAATAACGAGGTTCCTACTTACTGCTAGATAAACAGAGGCGTATGGAGTAAGGAAACTTGCCGAACATTTCACCCTGCTGGGATTTGAACCCAGATCCTCTCGCTTGTGAGACAAATGCTCTAACCATTAAGCTACAGGACTCCACGATGGGGTGGAGGGACATGGGGTGCAGAAGTAGGGTGGAGAGAGGGGACGAAGGTCGTAGAGGAGTTTCTCACAAGGTAAAGAGTGAGCTTGCATGGCATTCGGTATCTGTCCTCGATCCCCTCTGCGACGGCCAAGGGAGACAGTGAACCACGAGCTCTCCCTCAATCACTCTCTTACGCACTCTCTCACCCACACTCTCCTCTCAATTACTCTCTCTCTCCCCCCACCCCATCATACTCTCTCTCTCCCCCCACCCCATCATATTCTCTCTCTCTCCCCCCACCCCATCCTACTCTCTCTCTCCCCCCACGCCATCAATCACTCTTCCCTCTACCATTAATCAGCCGTGCGGCTCATTATCTGGCAGTAGGCATGGCTCCTCCAGCCATACAGTGTGACTCACTATCTGGCAGTGACAGGAGCTGTTGGTCAGTAAGGAGACCCATATAAATATTATATGCCAGCCAGTCAAGATCAGAACACTTACGCCTTATATGTTTTAAGATATCCTGCCAACATGAATGTCGTTATATCAAATGCAATGATTATTATTATTAATAATAAATCCATAGCTCTAAAAGTGTGTTTGTCTAAAATCTTCAATACCCACTGTTATTTTGATGGGCTTCATTTCACTATAATTTTCTAAACGTGTTTCACACATTATCTCAAGATAATGCCAGCATTACTTTCACATCAGCAAGATAAAGAGGCCACCAGAACATACTGATTTTATCATTTGCAATTTTGAGCCTTACAATGGAAAAAATATTGTATACTAATCAGCGGACATTAAATACTTAAAGATGAAACTGTGCAGAAATGGGCTTTCCGATTCCTAAGCTATATGCTAGACTAGATAAACTGGAAAAATCCTCAAGCCTGGTAATTAAACCGCATCTAAATTGCTTTGCTAATTATAATTTGGAAGGTCAGAAATATTTCTATGAGTATTTCAATGGCTTACATTGATCACAAAATATACAATATATCACATGAAGTGCTTAAAGGCGTCCTCCCGACATGAAAGGCATTATACGAAATGTAAAGATTATTATTTTTGCTTCACATTAAATTCTGATGCAATAAAAGATGGATTCCATTTAATTTTCCACAGAAAGAAAAATTCAGATGTGTTAACAATCAACGATTCCTACTAATTTAAAATTTGATGGGTTATTATTAACATAAGTATTGAGAATTAGGTGCTAAGTTAGTAGCACCTTGGGATGTCTGCCAGACGTGAAAGGCGCTATACAAATGTAATTTTGTATTGTAATGACCTGCCAGTGACTAAAGTTAATGTTATAATAATAATCCATGCATTTGATATAGCGGCTTATCACATTGTTGATACCTCTCAAAGCGCTTCACAGAATATACTGTGAAGTGAACTGATGATATATCTTGCGGGCAAAACACAGCAGCCAATTACGCAGTTAATATTCTTTGTTTGTATTTCATGTTTAATTTTTATTTGGATTGAATATGAACATTTCAGTGTTGGGCTGAATCTCATTGAGATTATACTTTCAGAATTGTACAAAATGCATACCTTTACAGTTTCCAGATCACCAGCTTTTGCTGCCTCCAGAAGTCGATAATCAATATCCGAGTTGCGTAAAGGAACGTTTTCTAAACAAAAATATTCAACAGGATAAATTAGTGGCCTGGTCAGTTTATATTTTCTTCTTTATAACAACATCCCTTCTAATTTGTTTTCTAAAGACTGGTTATCAATCTTCTGGAGAACATAAATTGCATTATAAGTGTTGTCAGATGGTCATCATCTATATAATTGTAGAATCCAACAGAAATCACACATTACCTAGTAGAGAACTAGAAAGAAACCTATGGTGTTAAATTTCTTTCAATCTGTTGATTCCTAAAGATTTTAAAAACTACTGCTGGTTCTTCTTTCTTGTAGCTATAGATGCTGAGCCTGGACTACAAATGTTAGTCATGGTTTCTGAGTTATGTGGCTCAGCATAACTCAATATTTGACTGCTCAACATCACTACATCCACAAAAACAATGCTAAAGAAAATTGTTTAATTCTACTTCGATTGTAGTGCAAGTAATTCTGAATCAAATAAAAAATAGTTCATTTTGAAATATTAATCTTTCTCTTTCATATCCTGATTATAACCTGATGTGCAGTTCCTCCATTTTCCATGTCTGCTTCAATTATTCAGCTGTATCTTGTCATCTTCATGGGTGGTATTATCTGATTGTAAGCTGTGTTATGTTTTATGAATATATGTCCCAACGTAAGATTACAGCAAACTGCCAAAATATCTTCCCTTTTCAATTAATTATTATAGTAACATAAGGAAATGTGTGTACTTCCATTACACCTACCATTCAGTATCTGCTGAACAGATTCATTTCCCATTTGTGCTGCTGTAAAACCTTGAAGCGAGACAATGGAGGGGTCACTTCCATAACTTAACAAGAGGCGACATGTCTGTAGATGACCACCATGTGATGCTCTGTGCAGAGCCGTTTGGCCAAGGGTGTCCAAAGCATTCATCTGTGGAAGAGAGAACATCACTGATATTGCAGTCGTTAATGTACACATGAACTTCCAGAAAGCCTTTGATAAGGTCCCATATTAGGGATTAACACCAAAATGTAAAGATCAAATCCAAAAAGAATCCTGGACTGGTTTGCCTCTCCCAGTCCTACCCACAAGGTCTATCATTACCAGTGCCCTTGGAATAACTAGTTATGGCTCATTCAGGAATTGATGCACCATTTGGGGCGTTAATGCATCAGATACATTTGAAAACTTACTGCAGTTAAATGCAAACTAGGCCAAGGCTGTACTCCTCGACTAGAGTCAGCGCCGGCTTCTCTCAGGCTACTTTGGGGACAGGGGAGGGAAGGTAAGCAGGGTCTCCTTGGAATTGAACTGGCTCCAAGGTCACGTGCTTGACAACAGAATGTCAGAATCGAGCCCACCTTTGGTGGTCCGGTTCCTAAGCCAGGCGGGTATACACTACTCCCAAGGCACTGGTCATGACAGATCAGATAGCTGGTTCATCTATTATTTTACATCTTGAAAAAAAATTACATTACCTTAGCTGCATGTTTGTGAAGAACTTCTACAACATCATTGTGTGCTCTTTCTGCTGCTGTGTGTAGAGGTGTGAGAAAACTGTAACATAAATTAGACATTACAATATTTGAAAATGAATACAAATTTTCTTTTAAGTGATGTTTGTGAACATCAAGAAATCTGCTACCAAAACCACTTGCAGCATATTTACCAACATTCGTATTAATACAACTTACATTTATATAGCGCCCTTTACATGGGGTAGTCATGTGAAGGGCGCTGAATTGGTTATTCATCAACAAAACCAATACATCAATATGAACTTTAATTCATCATATGCTGCTCTGTTTTTTTGTGCTTGAATATGTCATGGGAATCCAAGAAAACAATAGGTTATGGTAAAAGATTTACTTACAATGGAAATTTAGTGTTAGCCCATACTTCCTTTAGGTAAACTGATGCTGTTAGAACGACATTTGAATGTTTACTGCAAGAAGTTATAACCATTTACTTCATATTCACATGAAAATAAATTGAACCCTCCTTCCCAATGGTACTTCACTTAATAATTGATCTTTTTTTCACATTATAAAACTAGACTTGTTCTGTATATCTAATAAATAATTTTATAGTTTAAATTACTAAATCATTTTATTGTTAAATGAAAGACTTACTCTTTGTTCTTTTCATTGACATTTGCTCCTTTTCTCAAAAGCAGTTCTGTCACCTGTTTACGTTTAGGGTGCTGAGAAGCCACAGCACAGTGCTGTAAAGGAATTCACATATAAATCCCAGATATTAATGAAAAATGTATTCTTTCACCAACTAGTACAATATTATTAATGATGGCACAAAGTCACCATAACCATAGTGTATTCGCACCAATACTTTGTTGAACTTTGAAGTGATGGGATGCAATTCCCTCACCTTATATTTCCTCAATGTTTTTCAAACATTTCCCTTTTACACTTACAAAATAAACAGTGCAGTTAATTTCTTTTCTGTACACTGTTTGTAAACGGATATTGACATTGATAAAAATGGTTTTTTTTGATGTCCCCGAAAGCTGTCTTATTTTTGATACCCGTCCAAAAGGTAATAAAACTAACCCAATTATTGAACGTTCCTTCCATTACAACTAAATACTCTGTGCGCTCTCTAGCACATCTGGTAGCTTATGATCAGAACCAGAGAAATAATTTTTGGATGGGGTACTGACATTTACAGTTTCAAATGTTACTCTGTCCTGTAAGAAGTAGCTAAAAATGGCTATAATTACATTTTCCTGAAATCATGCACTATATCTTAAAATAAGTATTTCATACAATGAATAAGCATAGGAATTCAGTTTTGTTACCAGTGGGGTTTCATGCGTTTGTGGATGCTTGAAATTTATTATCTCTAAAGCAAGGCTCTTCTTCACTTTTGCCACATCTGCTTCTCTGGCTGCTTGTAGTAAAGTATGACCTTTATACTCATCTGTTTTTTTAAAAAAAAGCACAGCATTTACTAAACGTTAACATTGCCAAATTGTGAAGACATCAATCAAGATTCCAATTTTGGCATTCCCTTAGAATAAGCGGGCTTTTTAAAATCACTTTTGAACATCAAAGGATTTAAGAAAACTGGACACATTATGTCGTTTAGCCTTCTACAGACAATCAAAAAACGTATAGGGCTAATCAGACTAGATCTGCTCCTTGAAGCTGTATCGGATGTCATTAATTATTTCATACAGATGCATTTCACTTTGCTTTGATTATTAACTATTACTTTCCTATTATTGATACGACTAATGAGTTAGAACTACATTAGTGATTTTCCAGTGTGTATCCTGTGTCAGCATCAAGTTGAGTAAATCTCCAACTTCTGTCAACTGCAGAAGAGCATACTGATGACATTTTGCATTCATGTGATGTTGTGTGAAAAGTTCCCATACGGGAATTCCCCATATGTGAAATCGAACTATTGCAGGATGGAATACCGAACACACTTCTAACCTTGCCCACGGTAGATAAAGCGATTACGCTTTAAAATGATGCCAAAAGAAGAACAAAAACTAATCCAACGTAAGGAGTAGAAAAAGTGCCCACATAAAAACCGTGAAATCAGTAACAAAACATATAGCTTTGCGATGTATAATTTCATTTTTAGAAGGTCATAAAAAGTGTCCTCCAGATTTATGACAAACAGGCTGTACATTTGTTGCAGTGAAGGTTTCTATAGTGGCCATTCGTGTATCATAGCCTGATGTAATAACCAATGAAGCAGAATATAAGGTTACTTTTTTTTTAACCTTTGTCTAAAATTCTTGAATCACGTGTTTTTTAAATAAATCTAAATAATTTTAATCTTGTGTGAATGTGATAGGATAATAATCCGTCCATTTGATATTGAGCCTTATCATGTGAATTGACTGTATATTTTGTGGGCAAAACGCGGCAGCCAATTACACACAGCAGTGTCCCACAAACTGTCACGGATTGAAGTGACTAGTTTATTATTTTTTTTGAAGGAATTATTTCCCCCAGAAAAGCAATCCGCCAATCGACTAACAACCGATTACCTACTTGCCTCTAGGTAAATGGAGGCATGTGGAGTAAGGAAACTTGCACAACATTTCGCCCTGCCAGGAATCGAACCCAAGTCTCTTGCTTGCGAAGTGAGTGCTCTAACCACTGAGTTACAGGACTCCACAATAGTTTACTTATCCTGGTGTGATGACGTTCTGTAGGCCATTATGTTTATTTGTCAATGTGATTGGATTTTGTGGGCCACTGCACTTCCCACCGCCTCCAGAGGATTCAATTCAATCTAATGAATCAGGAACATAAACCTACTTCCTACCATTACATTAACAACTTGCAGCTCTGTTCATTTACAATTTTAAATATTCGGTTACGTATTCTTGAAGATTAAATATCCATGGATATTCTCAATACTTACAAGCAAGTCTTTCTTTTAGTTCTGGGGTGGGTGCCATATCCACAGCACTCTTACCATGGCAGTTGACTAGAGTTGGATCTGCACCATGGCTCAATAAAAGTGAACAGACTTCGACTCTATTCTTAGATGCAGCCTCATGAAGTGGTGTGAATTGCCAAAGATCCATTGCATTTACACAGGCTCCATGCTAAGTAAGGAGAAACATTACAATATAATAGTATCCTAGACATTTTGCTGCTACGATGAACAAAGATTGTTAATACAACACAGTGCCGACTGAAACACTGACTACTTTTGTTCCGTAATCAAAAACAACAAAACATTAGGAGAATTGTACAATAACAAAGTGGATGCTAGCTGCAATTTATAATGGAATTTTTATAAACGTATCCAAGAATATGAGTTGCAGCAGTAAACGTTTCTAATCTAAAATATAATTTCTGTTTGCATTTCCTTTTTCTGTAAATTTTTTCTTTCAATCTTCCATTCTTCCCAAAGTGTTTATGGACTTTACTCATCCTACGAAAAAATAGAGCACTCTAGCAAATGTTATCTATACGAATAAAGACATAATGTCTGTGCATCTGTGTGTCCGCTAAGAACTCAATAACCAATTGACGTAGAAACATGATTTTACTTCATCGGAAAGATTTTGCACGGGGAGTGTCATGGGCATTTTTTTGGGGGGATCTCCTATCGTTGATGAGCTATATTTTAAAAAATCTCATCACACATGTATGGCAGCTACATGTACGTTGCAGTTACACCTGGTGGCCTTGCTGACTTCCAGTGACACTGTGGTATCGTGCGTCACAGATCACGTACGAATGCAGTACGCGAGCACGCACTTTAGATGAAGCCAGGTAGTGAGGTGAAAGTTACTTCAAGTGGCATTGACGGCAGCCATTTGTCTGGTTTTCCTGTTGTTCCTGGGCAGCGCCATGTCAGAGTTAGGCCAGTGGCATGTGATGGTTGGCTCGGAAAGAGAAAGGTGAAGCCTGGGGCTCGAGTTGCGGCCTCACCTGGGGCTGGGGTTTAGCCCCCAACCCCGCTGGAGTTTAACCCCTTATGTATATAATTTTATTTTATAATCCATCTAACTATCTATACTAATAAAGATGAAATGTCTGTCTGGGTGTTTATCTGTCTGTAAATCTACATTCCATATTGGATCCTTTGGTTGCAAGCAAAGCTGCAACCGGTGGGTATAGCTAGTATGATATATTTAAATAATTTTAGTTTGGATATCCTGTCTGACATCGATCTTACCTGCCTGATTGTCTGGGCTTGCTATATTGGGCTTTCTGAGATCTTCTTGCTATTATTTTACATTTTCCTTTTTCTTGGCCTATTCTGTTTTTTATTTACTTTGAACTTCTTCAACTTTTCTCTTCTTCTAACTTTGAACAAGCGCTCTGGGATGCCCCCCATTTATAAAGCGTGAAGAGGGCTATAAAAATGCAAGTGCTTGTAGTCGAACAGACCTTAATTAATTCTCATCTCCTGAAGCAATCCCTTTTGTCTCTTCAAATCTAATTTGAATGAATCTGAATTGCTCTCTTGATAGTGATTAGGTGCAGGAACCCTAGTATCCAAACCCAGAGAGGCAAATTATAGTGTCTCAAATACAGCCCTGGCTGAGAATTTAGCGGACACCAGGATTTGAACCGTGACTATCTTGACTGTATTGACATGTGCTCCAAGCAAGGATTGCTTTTACCCACATTGAGTCAACTAGTTTGTGTTTTTTTCAATCTAAGTGTGTGCTTTTACAATGAAATCAGAAATATATTGACATAATTGGCAAATAAATAATGTAAAACCGATTTATCGGAGTGCAAATATTATCCGGATATTAATATTTTGAACATAACAGCATCTCAGCAAGCAAATCATTTCATAAACAATGAGGAACAAGATTGAAGGTGTAGCAGTAAGTGCAAACTGAGCTTACCTTAAGCAACAATTCGGTGACCTCGTAATGACCATATGAGCAAGCATTATGAAGAGGCACAAGACCACTAGTTAAAAACAGAAAGGTGAAGTTAGCTAAAGGACATTACATGACAAAACCTACAAACTCTATATTCATTAAAAAAGGTTAATTTGTAAGTACTTTTCATATCTAAGAAAAAATACATAGTTCTTATAGGTTTGCTGATTTTCCCAAAGATACTTCAGTGTTTTTCCTTCTCCAATTTTCTCTCCTTACTTCTCACTATAACCTGGGGGTGGAGATACTAGGCCACCTATTACCTCCAACCCCAGGTTATGGTGAAAAGTAAGGAAGGGCAAGTGCCCTAAAGGTATTGAAAACATATGGACTTTGTTGCAAAGATCTGAGAATTCCTATCAGCATATTACCCCCTCAAACTGTACATCACCACCAAACGGGATCTTAGGCACAAAGATAGAAATTGAAACCATCAATTCATCCCGACCCTTCCCCTCCCACCCTCACACACACAGTCTGGTATCACACCAGTCAAAGTGATAATTTACACCAATTACCTTCTAAACCAAGATGAAGCACAATAGGTTTGTGAACATAACATAAGAAATACTAGATGAAAAAAAGACCAAGGTCCATCTAATTCGCCTTTCATCTTCCTGCCAGTTGTGAAAAGTCTTAATCAGCTCGCTCAAATGTGGAAAATCAGACTGGTGTAATGCAAAGTAGACGATTCTGACTTGATTTGGATTTTTAATTAAGCCCAAGTCTGGAACTCCACAAATCTGGTCTACACCAAGTAGTCGAATGTACCACTGAAGGAGCACTTCAAAGCTATTTAGACTATAATTGTAAAAACATTCCAAATGTAGACGCAAATCTTAATTTTTACTACGTTTAGAAAAAGCAGATGTACTATGAAGTCTACCAAAACATTTAACATTTTGTTGTATAAAGATCTCAAATGCTTAAAGCATAGTTAGGATCTTTCACACATCTCCTTCAAGCATTATTGTTGGTAACTTGAACTGTCCTCATATTGTAAATTAACCAGATGACAATTCTTAGCACCTGATACAGATCATAAAGACAAGAGCTATGCATCTCTGAGTAAGGTGACAGAAGTGGACCATTAATATCTTAGCCTTCCATATAAATAACCTTTATGTTCTTGATGACATGTAGCAGGAGATTACTGTAATAACACACAGACCCTTAAGTATGTCACTTTTCTTGGATTATTCTAAGGGTAAAAAGAAAATGCAGTCAAGAGTGATCTTAATGCTTCTGTGGGAAAATGTTTGGCAAACAGCAGTACTTTGTTTATTGCTTTTGTAGAGCAGCAGAGCTTCATCGCAAGGAGCCAAAAATAATAAATATTTAATTCAGAAAGCCATGAAGATGACAGAGCAAATAAACTGGTCAACCTCTGAGGAGGAATTTGTTTGAATATAAAATGATCCCGGATGAAGGTCAAAGCTGAGGAGAAAGAGTATGATTTATTTCTTCAAAATTATGAGGCATAGGAACATAGGAATAGGATTAGGCCCCTCAGCCTTTCGAGCCTGTTCCGCCATTTAATTAAATCATGGCTGATCTGTACCCCAACTAATCCTTTCAATTCCAATTTCCCACTTTTGCCCCATATCCCTTAATACCCTGACCTACCAAAAATCTATCAACCTCAGTTTTGAAGGTGTGGATGAGGTGGAATTAAGACCACAAAAACAAATCTAGAGGGTAAAAGTATAAAATTTCAAGCAGGACCATGTAACAAAATATTTTTTCTCATAGATCTGCGACAGTGAACAATTAGAACTTTTTTCCATTGTGGATTTCAAGATGGAAGTAAACAGGTACATGAAAGATAAAGGCTTGATGGAGTATGAGGATAAGAGTGGGGCAATGGGATTCACTGGACAGTTTGCTTTGAGAACCTCAAGACTCAATCATAAAGGAGGTGAAGGAACAGGGAGACCTGGGGGTTCATATAAGTAAATCTTTGAAGGTGGCAGAACAGGTAGTTAAAGCTGTTAAAAAAGTATATGGGATGCTATAAATAGGAGTATAGAATAGGAGTATAGAATACAAAAGTCAGAAAATTATGATGAACCTTATGATGAAGGATTATTCTCCTTGGAGCAGAGAAGGTTAAGAGGAGACTTAATGAAGTTTTCAAAATTATGGGGGATTCGACAGAGTGAACAAGGAGAAACTATTTCCACTGGCGGGTGGGTCGGTAACCTGAGGACACAGTTTTAAAATAGTTGTTAAAGGAAACAGAGGGGAGGCGAGGAGAAATTTTTTCAGAGCGAGTTGTCTGGATCTGGAATGCATTCGATAGCAACTTTTAAGAGAAATAGATAATTATTTGGGGAGGATACGTTTGCAGGGTTATGGGGAGAGCGCGGGAGAGTGGGATTGATTTGGATAGCTCTTTGCAAAGAGCCGGCACAGACACGATGTGAGCAGTTAAACAAGACACCACGTTTCTGCACCGACTCTGCAAGGTGGATGCAGTCAGCGCCTGAGCTGAGAACCACAGAGAGCCTTGGTCTTGTCGACATTCAACTGGAGAAAGTTTGAGTTCATCCAGGACTTGATGTCTGCCAAACAATCGGTCAAAACAGCAGTGGTTCTGAGGTCGAGGGTAGAGGCAAAGGCAGAGAGAGAGAGATGAGTCTTCTCATATATGTGAATTTGAACCTCGTGACTGACTGCAGATGCTGTCACTGAGTGAAAGTATGTAGATCGTGAAAAGAAGAGGACCAAGGATATAGTCCTGAGGAACACCACAAGTGACAATGTGGAGGCAGGAGGAGAAACTGTTAGAAGAGATAAAAAGGAGACGCTGGGATAGGTAGGAGTTAGTTCAAGACAGATCTTTGGAGGTGGATCAGAGAGAAGAGGCAGTGAAAAGAATGAAATGGTAATCGGTATCAAAGACAGTAGAAAGATCAACAACAACAAAGTACATTTATAGAGCGCCTTTCACGTTGGAAAGACGTCCCAAGGCGCTGGTTAGTGAATTTTTTTGGGGGGAATCAATCAATTCATATATAACAATAATGGTTTGAATGAATTTGCAAGTGATATGAATGAATCAAGGTGAACAAGGCATAGAGAGCCCTCGTCACACAGAGAGAATGTCATTGGTAGCTTTGACCAAGGTGGTCTTGGCGCTAGGGATAGGGTGAAGGTCAAACTGGAAGGGTTCATAAATAAAGCAGTGGGGTTGATGGTCCAAATGCTTTTTCTCATTTTAACCTTTATAATATTTCTAAGCTTACTATTGTATTAACACTGGTTATAGGATATGTTCTTCATCTCAAATTTCAAACACTTTATTGCATACAGCATAAAATCAGTTCAAAGAAACCCAACCCATACACAGATTGGTTTGTGGCAAGATGTCAATACAGTAGAGACTTAATATCATATTAATGAGGATATAAAAACAAGGATAACTCTCCAAAAAACACAATCTGAGTACTGACCAAAAACATGTATTGTGATCATTATGGATTAATTTCTCTTCCCAGATCATAACCAGTTTCCATCTTTCCCTTCTCCTTATGCTAACAGTGCTAACAACAACAACTTCTTCCATACACACAATGCCAATCCTTATTCTCTCCTCCATCCCACACAGTACCAAGCCCTTTTGTCTGTAGTGAACTGGTTGAACACTCTGACTAAAATGTGCATTTGCTAATAATAATAATAATAACCCTTTATTTGCTAGTTTTATATATTGGGAAAAAGTCTCAAAGGATTTACTTTATAGTAACTGTGCGCTTTGTTTAGGTGATTGCAACTCCATCTAAGATTACTAAACTAAACACAGAGTGGGATCCATTCTGTGCGGCTCAGTTTCATAGTGAACATTAGCTTTTGCAAGTGAGCTGTTGGGGGAAGATGTATGGTGAATATCATTTACTGGAGAAGCATTTATCCAGGAGCGAGTGGTATGAATAAGCAAAGCATACCGCAAGAGATATCAAGATTGATTTCTACAATTTATTTTATAAGCGATTCCACTTACACTACTTCTCTCGATCCTTCATTCCAATCACCAATAAAATAGTTGTAACAAATACTCAATTTTCACATCCAAATACTCTTCAAGTTAACATCTTTGTAAATGCAAATTAATTGCATTTAATTTGACCGTTTTGAATCACAACTATAAAACTACTAAGGAGGTTGTCAAGTACACTACTGGTTAAAATGTCCTTTACTCACCCTTTGTCCTTAGCGTGTACATCAGCACCATGCTGGAGAAGAAGCTGAACAATCCGGACACGGTTATACCCAGCTGCCAGGTGAAGAGGAGTAGACTGGAGGTAAACAACGAAAAATAAAAACAAATGAGTGCAACAATAAAGCTATATTTGACCAAAGGGAACATTGTTGATTTTAAAGAGAGAATCATGCTTTCAGTAAGAAATAATTCCTAACAGCTAGTCACAGCGTGATCATAAAATTGTGCACAATCTTGAATTCTTGTAAGCTCAATTCCGATGTTCTCTTCCAATTTAACTTTAATTAGCAGTCAAATATGAATGATGGATAGTTACAAAAGTTTGATAACACATCAGAATGTCGCCAACAGCATCTAGACCATTAAGTTAGAGATCAGCCTAATAAAAATCGATTATTTTTTCTGATTTTCACAATGATATTAACAATTACTTTAAATTAATTTTTCAATTATAAATTTTGACCACAATGGATGCCTTCCACGTTGTCAGGTCATCAGAGACATCAATTCCTACATACTGCGCAGGAGCACTAAGAGCAAGAAAGGCCAATGGATGCAGCTGGCCTACTTATGTACAGACACAAGCGCAACACATAGGAAGTGACATGTGTGGCAATCTGACTTCCTGAAGTTGGTCGTTGTTATCATTAAAAAGTGATTTAAAAAAGTTTGGCAATGAAAATTTATTTTTGAGAACATTGGAAAAAAATATTGATGTTTGCCAATTTTAGTGATTTCCACCAACCCAAAATATAAATCAACATTTGTCCCTGCCATTTCTTCCAAGAGTTCAAGTTTTGAATATTAGAATTAAGGATTTTAGAGGATTTTAAATGATCATGAATGTCCTGAAATGCTGGATAATTCTATTATTTAAATTCCGGTGCTGCATTCCTGCATTTAGCTTTATAAAATCACCTGCAGTTAGTTTCATTGATATGAATGAATGGTATGAAATGAAAGTATGAAAATGGAAAGTTAACAAGTGGTAAATTTGTTGCAGTGCACTTTGCCTAAATTTATATAATTGCTTGTTCTAACATTTTACTTACAGTCACTGAAGGATAAAATATTCAATAATATTTTATGCAAGAATTAGATGTCATGCCTTAATCAGAAGATTAAGGTTTTTTCCAATTAACTTGGCCAAGTATAAGTGCATGCACATGCAAATAAAGCCTGGTCAAAACTACCAATATCTGCACATTTAATAATGAGCTTGCAACCAGACCAATGGAAAGGTAACTGCAGAAGTACCTTTTGTCTACGATGTTTTACAAACCTCAATAATGTGGAAGATCCAGTAAACAATTTATTTCTATTATATCAACAGACCAGTGGTTCTTACTGCAGAATAGCAACACTTGCCAGTTTGTGGCCCGAAAATGCACATTTTGAGAAAGAAGGACACATCTCAGAATGTCAGACAAACAATGGTTGCAGCATCAAAGTACCGTAGGAGTTGTCTTGATTTAAAATGGTAAAGCTACTTTGTCAACTCCTTTTAAAGTACCTTGAGCTTTAATTTTATCTTTTATAAGAGTTTAATACAGCTGAATGTACTTTGGAAAGAAAGACAGTACACAATTAAGTGGTGAATATTACAGTACCTTTGATGTTTTGAATTATAAAGCTAAGGGTTTGAAATGTTGCACACTCAAGAGCATCAACTTGTAATATCTCCACAGTATAAATCCTAAACTAGATTTTACTTTCAAGATCTGCTTATCCCAAGGATTGCTGAAATTATTGATCTACCTTATAAAATGAAAATCTGCACAGTAATATGGTTTGGGGTAAATGGAACTGAAACAAAACATACCTTTAAAAATAAACTTAAAATTGATCAAATATTTTACTGTAGCAATAAAATTCTGAAATGTTTCACGATATATTTTAAATGCCTCCTCTCACTGCATATGACCACCATCAAACCAAATGTTTACAGCCAGAAGGCGACCATTCAAATTGTATCTGTATTAATGCCAGCTCCATGAATGAAGCTATAACCTCATTCCCTTGCTCTTTCTACGTAGGTAGTAGTTATTTTTTCTTCATTTATCCAATTCTCGTATTGATGCTTTTGTGGATCCAGCTTGACTAGCCATTTATCTCTGTTTCCATATTCTTAATAATTCTTTGTGTTAAAAAAAATCCCTTTTCATAAAAAATGTTTTGCATGGCTATGGAGAAAGAGTGGGGGAGTCGGACTAGTTGGATAACTCTTTCAAAGAGTCGGCACGATAGGCCGAGTGACCTCCTTCTGTGCTGTATGATTCTAATAAACCTGCTATTGATTCATTAATGATTGGGGATAGTTTCTCCATTTAACCCACCAAAATTATTCACAATTTTAAAAGCCTCCACTCGATTGTCTAGTATTTTATCTGTTCAAGCAAAAACAATCCATTTTTTCAAATCTCTTCTCACTGAAACTTCTTAGCCTTAGTTGATTCATCATGAATCCCCATTATTCACTCTGTGATTATGACTCCATAAAAGGATTCTTTTCCAAAAATGAATTCAATACTCCTGACTTTTTTTCCCACAAATTAACATCACTCCTTTGCTCTTGTAATGGCCCAATTTATAAAGCCTAAAATTCTTTTCACATTTTAGCACTTTCCCTTTACCAGTGAAGAGATGATGGACCGGGTTATAGACTTTTTTGTATGGCGGTATGCTAAATTGCGTGTGTACCCAATTGCTAAAGTAATAACGGGGCAATTTTGCACACATCATTTTTCAGTAAAGTACATTAACTCTCAACTATCCTTTCTACCCCATATCTTTCCATGTCTTGCTCTGCCTTCCCCCGCCTCCGCAACATCGCCCGGCTCCTCCACTGACTCACACCGCAGGTCGCCGAAACGCTCATACACGTTCATAACATCTAGGCTTGACTACGACAACTCACTGCTTATCGGCCTCCCCAACTCCTCCCTCCTTAGGCTGCAGATCATCCAGAACTCTGCAGCCTGTGTCCTCTCCCACACCAGGTTCTGCGACCCCATCACCCCCATCCTTGCCCAACTCCACTGCTTCCCATCACACAGAGGATACAGTTCAAGATCCTGGTCCTCACCGTCAAAGCCCTCCACGGCCTTGCTCCCCCACTACCTCTGCAACCTTCTAACCCCCTACCAACCTGCCCGCTCCCTCCTCTCAGCGGGTTTTTTTACTAAGAAAATAATAGTCGAAGATTGAAAGGAAAGGACCCCTTCTCCCCCTCTAACACTAATTTCTAGTAGAAGGAACACATGCAGTTTTTTTGAGTTCAATCATATAAGAAATTGGTATCGGACAACCCCGATATAAAACACTGCTCCGAGTCCAACCCCCACTTTAAAGAGAGTTCTGGCTCATCAGGTTACAATTAACGTCACTTCCTGCTCACTGCCAATGCAAAAAAAAGCTTTGTTTACAAAGTGATCTCAGCAGCACTACCTATGCATCACAAAACATGAGCAGCGAGCTGGAAGTGACAAAACATGTCAACTTCCTGCACCACGAGAGCAAGTATTCTTCTTTGCAAAATTAAAAATCTTTGTAAAGTAGCACAACTAGGTTAGCACATTTCCCCATTTCACGAGTTCAGATGAATAAATAGAGGCAACTATTATAAGATATACATCAGATACTATTATATAACTTTCCAATCCATTTGATATCATCCTTCCAGAATATCAACTCTTGCTTTCAATTAAAGCATCACAATGTTTCTCAAGTCCAATGTCTACGGCTTGAGCAATCTTCCAAAATAGTTAGTTTGCTTACAAAATACACTGTCACTACACTTTACAGTAAATCTTTTGAAGCGCTTCAGACATTCTCCCAATGTGATAAGCGCGATATCAAATACAAGGCTTACTATTATTTTAACTCCTTCCAGATGTTGAATATATTCTATGTGAAAAATATTTCCTGCACTGTCCTTAAACTTCATAATACTTGACTCTTTTGTTGCCTAAGGATTACCTATCTTTTAAGGTTGTGGATATTTTACTGTATAAAGCATCTTAAAAATATACATCAGAGGAACGATTCACAGAAGCTCAATTAAATTCCTCTTCCCCATCAAGAACAGTGAAACTTTTTGGCTACAAACGACAACCTCCTAAAAATAGAGAATAATCCTGTCTTGAGATTTCCACAGGAATTGCAATGGGTAAAACTAATTCAAAACGGAACATCTTGTTGCCTTTGCATAAGCAGTCACTGCCTGGAAATAGTCAATTCTGCAGTTATTCTGAAGTCATAGAGAACTGCTGAAATTATACATCAAACCACTAAACTTCAGGACTTCCTTGTTCCACAAAATATTTTCAGTGAATGCAGCTTGTTGTGATAGATCAAACAGGATGCTTGTGAAAAATAAACCTCATTTAACACAGTTCTGAACTCGAGGGAACATTTTAAATGCCTTTGACAAGGTATTTCTGTGTTGAGATAAATTTCCCCTGAAGATATTTCTAAAACCTTTCCCAAACTATCTTGCAAACATTTATAACAAAATTACATTTGTATCGTGCCTTTCACGTCGGGAGGACGTCCCGAGGCGCTGGACCGTCAGTGTTTCAGACCCGAGCTGGGGGTCGGAATTGGAGATGATGGAGGGTGGGGGTGGGGGGGGTGGGGAAGAAGGGTGATCGAGAGCACGATCGAAGAGGAGGGTCTTGAGACGGGTCTTGAAGGACACAAGGGAGGGGGCGAAGCGGAGGGACTGCGGGATGGAGCTCCAGATGATGGGGGCAGAGTGGCTGATGGTGGAGCGGGGGACATTAAGCAGGCTGGAGCACGCTGAGCGGAGCGAGCAGGATGGTAGGGGGTTAGGAAGTCGCAGAAGTAGGGGATAGCAAGGTCCCGGAGGTCTTTGAAGATGAGGACCAGGATCTTGAACTGTATTTTTTGAGTGATGGGAAGCCAGTGGAGTCGTGCGAGGATGGGGGTGATAGGGTCACGGAGCCTGATGCGGGAAAGGATACGGGCTGCAGAGTTCTGGATGTTCTGCAGCCTACAGAGGGAGGAGATGGGGTGGCCGACAAGCAGGGAGTTTGCGTAGTCAAGCCTGGATGT